TTTTCACGTTGATTCGTAATTCATTTATCGATACTGTTAGATATATATATATATTCTTAAATATTTTGTTAATTTTTTAAATTTTTTATTGTATGCTCATGATTATAAATAACTAATTTCATTAAAAAAATTGACGATTTTTTTAAGTTAATGGTTATAGAAAAAATATATTAATTATATGTTTAATCTATAGTTATGATTATAAACCTCATTTATAATTCTAAATATTCCATCTCTTTAGTAAAATATATACTTTTATATATAAAAAAAACCAACATTCCACGTTGATTTCTCACGAAATTCGACACATTAAACCCTTAACCGTTCTTAATTTCGAATGAATCTAGACTTAAAATAGAAGTTGAGTTAATTGTTTTAGGTATCCTCAAATTAAATTCGTATTTAAGAGATTCTAGAGGAAAGAAAGGCAGTGTTCTTAATGGGTCTAAAATTAACAAAATAAAAAATACGAAAGAATAAATATAAACCGCTTGACTAACCGACCAAATATATTTATGTAGTATAATCCTTATTTTAGACTTCAACTATTCAAGTATCAACTCAAATAAGACTTTCATCGTATTTGATATATGTGAACTAAAATATAAATAAATTTTAAATTTTAAATCGCGGTGTTATTAATAAAATAAGTTGGTAATACTTAATCTAACTTAAATCTAATATACTAAATTAAAGAACTATATGAATCAATGAATATTAATGCCAACTTTTCTTCACTAGTAATTCATGTATATAGGGATGGCAGTATGACCCGAACCCGATGAAGAAACCCGAAACCCGGTTAAGTTCGGATCGATTCGGGTCGGGTTGAATGATATCAGGTCGGGTTCGGAGATTTTTTCTGGTCGGGTTCGGGGCAAGGTATCCCCGCCCCGCCCCGCCCCGATTATATATATATATATATATATATAATATTTTATATTTTTTATATTAATTATATATATAATTTTTTATATTTTTTATATTAGTTATATATAAAATATTTTCGCGTTCGGGTTTAGATATAATATTTTGGGTCGAATTCGAGGACGGGACAAAAAAAATCTCCGACGGAACGTCCCGATAAAAAATCTGTCTGAGACGAGAATTCATTTCGGGTTCAAAGATAGGGAGAGCAAAACCCGACGCGTTTGCCATTCCTATGTATACCCTTTTTCACTGATCTTACATATGTTGTGGACATGTGTTATGGGAAGTCTCGGTTTCATGCATAGAAATCATCACCCAACAGCACGATGACTTGCACTCAATCTTTTACTCTCCTTTTTCAAAGATTTCGGCCATTTCAATGGTGTTTTAATCCGTTTCAAGTTTTAGTCAAACATGTTAAGCTTAGGTTTGACTATATGATAATGGTTCGAAAAAGATCACTTTTGCCCTTATTAATTTCACAAATATCGTATTTTCGTATTAATTTAATTTTTAAAATTATTTAATTACATTATTTTATAACTTTTTAAAATTCTATATCATAAACTCTAAAATTTTGTACGCTCAGTTTCCGAATACCTAAGCCTCCATTCGCCCACGGCTGACACAAAATATCCCATTTAACCAATGGAATTCGAGGGGAAGTAGGAGAAGAACCCCAAATGAAACGTCCGACCAATCCTTCAATTTTCCCACAAATCGAAGAAGGTAGTTTACAGGCTTGCATGATGAAAGAAGGAATGCTCAAAAGAACGGATTTTGCTAGTGAGCCGACCAATTGTCAAGCCGCTTCTGAACTCTTTCGAGGATGAAATTATACAACTCTTTGGTTGCCCCAGAATGCCGAACAGGAACCCCAAGATAAGTACCCAAGTTGGAAACTTCACTATACCCAAGTTGGAAACTTCACTATATCCAAGTTTCGCACAGATAGCAGAACGAATGGCAACGTCTGTATTAGGGGAGAAGAGGACCGTTGTTTTGCTCTTATTCACCGAGTGTCCCGAGTATAAGCCGAACTCATCAAGAATATTTTTAATTAGAGTAACATTGTCCTTATCGGCTTTAGCATAAAGAATGAGGTCGTCTGCAAAGAACAAGTGGGAAATCCGAATACCATCTTGGACCATCTTAAAAGCTTTCCATGCCCTTGCCGAGACATGATGAGAAATGCAATGGCTAAGGTGCTCCATGGTTAAATTTTTTCACTATCTTTTGAATAATTTCTACTTAGGAAAGATGAAAGGGAAATTCTATTCGTAATGAATAATGAATTCACAATTTAAGAAAGAAGAGAAATGTCAATTGAGAGATTTTAACCACTAATTTTAGTGGTTGTTGACATATATATTTTTTTACTTTTAAGTGATTAAAATAATTTTAGTTAAAATAAATATTTTATTATTATTATTAAATTCAATCGTAATATGTATCACGTCACTAGTGATGATATGTGTTATGTCATCTAAAGTGATATTGTTATACGTGTCATGTTATCTAATGTGACAATGTAATATGTGTCACATTATTAATTAAACACATATGAAAAAGCCACAAAAACAATATGTGTTCACCGTTGATCAATTAACGATTTTCATCTAATATGAACTATTTTGATTAAAATTAAAACATTAAAGGCTATAATACACTTAAAGAAAGAATATATGATAAAATAATCATTTGTACAAACATGGTGATTTGAGATTAATTTAATAATTATTCTTTTATTTTCAGTTATGAACTGTTATTTTTTATAAAACCAAAAATATTATAAAGTAAATAATTATTATTATAATTAATTGTTGCAATAATATGATTAAGATGATAATTAAATATATTTTGATGGAGATATTTGAACCTTAATAAATTGGAAAGTTTTTGATGCCTCGATTGACGCCTTGACTAGCGCTTAACTTACATTGGGCCACGACCGCGATCTACACTACATGTGCCCCTCACTACTCTTCTTGCGACCGCGATATACACTACATATGCCTAGGATGGCAATGGGTCGGGTCCCGACCCGAGAAGAAAGGGTCATCCACCCGTCACCCGACTCGAAGAAATTAAGGTTTTACCCGATCCGACTCGAATATATGACTTAGAAACTCGATCCGACTCGATCCGAAATAATAAAAAAAATATTTTTATTCAATAAAAACAACGACTTAATTGAAAAAATTATATATAGAGGGGTAATATTGTAATTATCCCTAAATGTATATGTAAAATTATATATATTTTTCGGGTCGGGTCGAGTCGAATTTTTTTCACCCTAAACCTGACCCGACCCTAACAGGGCATTAAAAAAACACGACCCGACCCGTATCCGATTTTTTTTTTTAAAACAAATCCGACCCGATCGGGTCAGGTCGAAACCTGTCGGATTCGGGTTAAGTTGCCATCCCTACATATGCCCCTCCCTATTCTTCTTCGTTTTTGTATGTGTAAATTATATATTTAGTATTTAAATTATTAATTTTGATTTATTTTAATATTTAATTTTTTTAATATTTTCAAAATCTCATCTAACTATCAAATTTTCATTTCATTTTAATATTTCGTTGTTAAAAACTTAACATCTTTAGTATCTAAACTATCAGTTTTAATAGGTAGTTTTTAGTTTTTTTTTCAAAACTTAACATTTAATTTTGAACATAAATACTATAATGAAACAAAAACTAAAATTCTTAATGACAGAATATTAAAATAAAATAAAAATTAAATTTTAAGTATATTTTTTTAAAAAAATAAAAATTTATATATTAAAATTAAAAGTTTAAGTATTAAATACAATTTTTTTTTTAATAATAAACAAGAAGAACAAAGTGTTACTTGAGGAGCATAATCCAATTCTGACACAACAATGCCTGTAAAAGCTCATCCAACATTAGCCGTTAGCAGTGAATGGACTTCACATTACAATTTTCAGCGCAGGGGTTTGAACACAATCATCACTCTTTGTCTTGTAAGGCTGTGTCTTACATTTTCATAAATATCATTATTTGATTTTTATATATATTTTTCATTTATTTTTACTTCTTAAAATAAATATTTGACTCCCTACACACTCTTTTTCGTGATAATATCAGAAACTTAATTTAACAAATAATTTATATCGTATTTTTTAATAATTTAGTTATATAGAACATACACCTATAATTATTATTTCAATAATTATATCTATTATACTTCCAGATATTTTCTTTGAAATTACTAATTGTCCATTAATTAAAATTTTTCTAAAAAGTCCTTTCTATTGGAGTCTCAAAAAAAATTATATCCTTAAAATACATAAATATCATAACTTTAGAATAACTTTCGAATTAAGTACAATCATAGACAAGACTCGTGACAGATTTACTTAATTTTTTAAAATAAACTACATGAAAAAAAAACTCTAATTAAATAGCGATCATCAAATAATCATTTTCCGGACCAAATTACACTAGCAATTTTAAACCTTGCCCCACCTCTTCAGTTAATTTCATTTTCAAACTCACCTATTTTTCCGGCTATCCACTGGCCAATAAATTAACTCGGCTTTAAAATTTACATATATTATGATATCACAAAGGTCTCTAATTATTTTATATTTTTTGAGATATTTATGAATTGTATTATATATGTTATTTATATTTATATTATGTAATATTGTACATAATCTTTACAATGTAGCAATATGATATACAATATATACAAACATGTTATAATGCAAAGAGAACCCATAAATGCATCAAAAATATTTAATGAAATCTATTACACTATTAATATTATATAAATATAAAATAATATAAATATGTTTGTAAATTATAAGTTATAATGAAATTTGAATATAAAATTCAAGGTCTTCTTAAACTATAATTTAGATAATAATTATATATCAAAGAAAATAAAAATATATATTGTATAAAATACAACTACTATAGCGTAGGAAAACCGACGGGATGGCATTGAGGTAAATAAAGCTAAAGGACAGGTCCAATTAGAAACACAAGTGTGTTATAAATCCGACATCAGTTTCAAGCTTTTCTTCTATCCTGTTTTGAATCTCTCCCATTTTCTGTAGTATTAGTATTAATCTAAGTTCATTAGCAGTACTAATAATCCTTCGTTTACAGCCATGGTTTCCATGGCTTCATCACCGTTCTTCGTCAGCTTCATCTTCCCCGTACTTTGCCTCACAGTCGCCGCCAAAAAAACCTACATTGTTCACATGAAACATCAAGACAAGCCACCGTTTTTTGAAACACACCATGATTGGTACAGTTCAAGCTTGCAATCACTTTCTGCAACCCCATCTGATCAGTCCCTTCTCTACTCGTATGATGCTGCATTTTATGGATTCGCTGCTTCACTTGATCCAGAGCAAGCTGAAGCTCTTAGCAAATCGGATTCTGTTTTGGGTGTTTTTGAGGATACTATTTATGATCTTCACACTACTCGTACCCCGCAGTTTTTAGGCCTTGATTCTGAGTTCGGGTCCTGGGTTGGTCATAATACTCAGCAACTCGAACAAGCTTCTCGGGACGTGATTATTGGAGTTCTCGACACCGGAGTTTGGCCGGAATCTAAAAGCTTTGATGATTCCGGATTGCCGGAGGTTCCTTCTAAGTGGCGTGGAGAGTGTGAATCGGCTCCTGATTTTAATCCCAAGCTTTGCAACAAGAAACTCATCGGAGCTCGGAGCTTTTCGAAAGGCTACCGTATGGCCAGCGGGGGCGGTGGAATTTACAAAAAGAGTAAAGAGATCGAGTCCCCACGTGACAGAGACGGTCATGGTACCCACACTGCCAGCACCGCAGCTGGATCTCACGTGGGCAACGCTAGCCTCCTTGGTTACGCCAGCGGAACGGCTCGTGGTATGGCGACGCACGCCCGGGTCGCCGCCTACAAGGTTTGTTGGGAAACGGGTTGCTTCGGGTCCGACATTCTGGCCGGCATGGATCACGCCATCCAGGACGGAGTTGATGTTCTCTCCATGTCCCTCGGTGGCGGATCCGCGCCGTATTATCGTGACACCATCGCCATTGGAACTTTCACGGCGATGGAGAAGGGCATTTTCGTCTCTTGCTCAGCCGGTAACAGCGGGCCCACTAAGGCCAGTCTTGCCAACGTGGCGCCATGGATTATGACGGTTGGCGCCGGGACTTTAGATCGAGACTTCCCCGCTTACGCCGTATTGGGAAATAAAATCCGTTATAACGGCGTCTCGCTTTACAGCGGTCGAGGAATGGGAGGGAAACCGGTTGGTTTGGTTTACAGCAAAGATAACAGCTCGAGTAATTTATGTTTGGCCGGTTCACTCGATCCGGCATTGGTACGCAGGAAGGTTGTTCTCTGCGATAAGGGAACAAACGCTCGAGTTGAAAAGGGAGCAGTCGTGCGCGACGCCGGAGGCATCGGGATGATATTAGCGAACACACCGGTTAGCGGTGAGGAACTGGTGGCTGACAGTCACTTATTACCGGCCGTGGCGGTGGGGAGGAAAGTCGGCGACCTGATTAGACAATATGCACGGACCGATTCTAATCCCACTGCCGCGCTTGTGTTCGGTGGCACGGTGTTGGATGTTAAACCGTCGCCGGTTGTTGCGGCGTTTAGTTCCCGGGGACCCAATATTGTGACGCCTCAGATATTGAAACCGGACGTAATTGGGCCGGGAGTCAACATACTGGCTGCCTGGTCGGAGGCCATTGGACCCACCGGGTTGGCTAAGGACACGAGGAAGACCATGTTCAATATCATGTCAGGTACTTCATAACGGCTATATCCCTTGTTTTTTTTTTACCATTACTACTTGTATCAAACACATATTCGAATTCGATTACTGTGTTCAGTTAATCATCACAGTCGTTTCAATTGCTGTTTTAGGCACGTCGATGTCGTGCCCGCACATCAGTGGGCTAGCAGCGTTGATCAAGGCAGCACATCCCGAATGGAGCCCGAGCGTGATAAAATCGGCTCTAATGACCACAGCGTACACCCGAGACAACACCAACTCCTCTCTCCGTGATGCCACTGAGGGTTCATTGTCGAACCCGTGGGCTCATGGCGCTGGCCATGTTGATCCCCAGAAAGCTCTTTCACCAGGCCTAGTATACGACATCTCCACCGAAGATTACATTACATTCTTGTGCTCACTCGGGTACACCATCGACCATGTCAAGAACATAGTGAAGCGCCCCAACATTACATGTTCGAGGAAATTCAATGACCCCGGTGAGCTCAACTACCCATCGTTCTCGGTCTTGTTCGGGAACAAAAGGGTTGTTCGATACACTCGTGAATTAACAAACGTCGGCCCTGCAAGGTCCACATACAAAGTCACGGTTAATGGACCATCGACGGTTGCGATCTCGGTTAGGCCTAGAGCGCTCACCTTCAGAGCCGTGGGGGAAAAAAAGAGATATACCGTCGCTTTTGTAGCTAAAAGTTGGACAAGCCCAATGGCTAAGCCTGAATTTGGCTCAATAATGTGGGGCAATGCTCGAAACCAAGTTAAAAGCCCAGTTTCCTTCTCATGGACATCGCTGAGCGATTGACTAGTTTATAATTCTGGGTTGTTTCCCCCTCATTAACAAGCCTCGCTCTGGTGTAAAAGGACCATACAAGGACCCTCTAGCCCAAGCAATTTCCTTTTCAAGGTTAGAGCTTCGGCTTGTAAGCAAGGTCCTTAACGCAAAATCAGGGTTGGATTGTATTTGTTTACTTGATTAAGTTGATGGTATAAAAGATGATCACTTTGTTTGCTAACAGATTTCCCTTCAAATGGACCCCCCATGCCCATTTTATGGGCAGATTTCGAAAAAGATGGACCCATAGCATATCTTTTCTTTGTTTTCCCCCCTCGAAGTATATGTCACAGTCAAATCTCAGGTAGCTTCGATGTTCCATCATAGAAAATGAATGAATGAACATGGATTGCATTCTGGCGTTATTGAAATCTTTAAGAACTGGTCGAAAGGACATCACAGTCACATGATCTGGTTGCCATTTTGGAGGAAAATATGACAGAAAACCATGATGAAAAGTCAGTGTGTAGGTCCACTGTTTTGAATTTTGGGTCCTGAAAAAGAGGTCCATCGTCCTCTCTCACAGTCGGCCATCGTCCTCTCTCACAGTCGGCCAACATTTTTTGCGATCCCAAATGACAGCCTGAGTTTTTTTTTTATATAAGAACAGTAGTCTGCTCCTGCAATTCTAGCTTAAATCTGGGTTTTTGAAGTGCAGTAAATTTGTGGAACTGTTTGCTGTGTGATTTTGTAACCATTTGATTCAATAATTCACTGTGAAGTGAAATGCAGAAATATATTAAAATAACAGGCAGCAAGGATTACAACAGGTTTTTGTACAATCGCAGCAAAGGTTTGCCTCTGGACATTTAGGAGTAGAACATTTCCATCTGCAGCAAAAGCAATCCGTGCATGAAGGGAATCGCAAAATGCAACAGTTTCGGCTGCTGTCGCAGCAGCGGGATTTAGGACACGAGAAACATTGCCACTTCGGGATCGTGCAGCAGCTTGAACACGAACAGCAATCGAATGAGCTGCACTTGCATCGCCATTTCGGGATCGTGCAGCAGCTTAAACACGAACAGCAGTCGCAAGAGCTGCACTTGCATCGCCATTTCGGGATCGTGCAGCAGCTTAAACACGAACAGCAGTCGCATGAGTGGCATTTACATCGCCATTTCGGGATTGTGCAGCAGCTTGAACACGAGCAACAGTCGCACGAGCTGCATTTACATGAACTGCAGTCGCAGGAGCTGCATTTACATGAACTGCAGTCACATGGGCGGCACTTGCATGAACTCAGGCCAGACAAGCTGCATTTACAGGAATTGCAGTCGCATGAGCTACTGCACTTACAAGAACTGCAGTCGCAGGAGCTGCATTTACATAAGTTGCAAATGCATGAGCTGCAGTTACATATACCACAGTCACAACACCGGGGGCATTTCAGATCGCAAGAGCACCCGGAATTGCAGAAACAGCAGATCCATGACAAGTTAAAGCAGGGAATTCCACTGCAAAAGATCCGAATTCATGTCATAAAGTTCGCAGTAGCCGTCGCATGTATATACATAAATACTAACAAATACAGAACATAAAACAGAAGCACAAGAAATCGGTACCAAAGCCACTTCCAAAACCGACACGACTTCCGATTCTTCCGGCTCCTGCTTCAAGGGACAAAAATATAAAACTTAATCAGTCCTCCTCTAGGTACTACATGAAAATCACTGAAAACCAACAAAATATTCAGTTCTTACGTAGGTATCAGTGGATCAGATTTCGCCATCACGAAATCCGTAACCCTGAACGAAGAAGAACAATATATACTCGTGAGAGATTCTTTAGCTAATGCTCAACTTCACCTATAGATATGAACTTTTAATTAACTAGATTCCATTAAAGGTAGCTGAAAAACTTCACATACTCTTTGCAATATCTCGAAGCCGGTTGGAGACCTTCGACGGATTTCAACTCTTCCTGCTCGGAACGAAATCGTCAGCGACAGTTACAATGCAAATAAAGGTCAGAAATTTGACAATAATATCATCTCTTGCTAGGAACAAGAACATAATGTGTCTGCCATCGATAAATTGAAGTCGACTCTTCATTCGGATCTTACATTATATCCATAACCATTAACGTTTAGTTGATCTGGAAGATATACAAATTTAAAGCCTAATCATAATGCATGAGCAGCAATTATGTTGAATTTTTTCTAAAGTTGAATTAATGATAAATTTCTTCATGTTCTAGTTGAATTGTGGACATTAACTTTCAATTTGCAGTAACGGGAACATATAAAGTATGTATTTTTAGCCTAATCCATTTAAAAAAAAACCTGACATTTTAAGCAAGTTAAGCATGGTAATCAACTTAATAATCAAATTAAAACTGGAAGAGATAAAAAAAAGGGACCCAAATTAAAACACACCTCAAGGAAACTAATCTCTCTCTCAAGCATCTGAATCTTAGCCGCTTCCCTTCGTTTCCCATACAAATCCGGATACCCCGGTGGCGATTTCGGACACGGCGGAGGCAGAGACCGGACAGACGAAGAAGAACCACCCGACCTGACAGCCATTACTGTCCTCTGAATCTCCGGTCACCTCCGGACAAAACGAAAGGAAAAAAAACTTATGGATTTAGTGTAGTGACCCAGAAATAGTAAGCAAACAAAGGGAAACCCAGAAAACCAGACTAATAAAAGAGACAGAAGAAGGAAGGTGCAAGTAAATGTAAGGAGTTGAAGGAAAGAGGCCTTTTTTTTTTTTTTTTGCTTTTTTTTGGGGGGGGGGGGGATGACAGTGGCAGAGGCAGCAATTAAGCGTGCCTGACAAGGACAACTACGACCCAGAGCTTAAAAGGTTAACCAGAAACTGAAAACAGCAACAACAAAAAGGTACAGAGAAATGAATGCTGCTGCAACTTGGGTTCAAGTTTAAAGGGAACAAGAGGGGATATTTTATATTACTAATGATGTAATGAAGGTAAAAAGGGAGTCATTATTAATAGAAGAAATCAAAGATATTGAGTGGTGGTGGTGGAGAGAGGAATAAGAAGAAGAAGAAGCATGATCTGATGATATTTCTTGATTGACAAACACAATGACCTTTGTGCATGGTAATAATAATAATAATAATGGTAAAGACGGCTGTGAAAAAGGCTGCAACTTTTGTGTACGAACCCATTTTAAGCTAAAATTTCAGTCTTTTAAGTGAAATCCATTCCCAGTGAGAGAGATAATGTGATGCGTGTGTTTAAATTTCTTTTCCCAGTTTTTTATTGCACAAAAGACAAGTAAACTACTAAATACAGTGTGGGTTAAGACTTAAACTTGATTTTTTTATGAAGAATTAACAGTTGAAGAGGTCGAATTTGAAAGAATTTGTGGGTGGGAAACTGGGGATGCACAGTTGCAGAAGGCAGAGAAGCGAAAAGCACGATGTAGTACCTCAGATCGCACGTGACATCTGCCCGACTGCGTAGGAAAGAGAGATATTAAATATTAAAGGTTTATTACACATTTTAGGATTATTATATTTCAAAATACGATTTAGTGTTTAAATTTTTTTAATTATAATTAGTGTCTAATATTTCAAACGTTATATTTTTTTTCACTAACATCTAAAATTTATAAAGTTAATTTTTAAATAAAATACAAAAAAATAAAGTAAAGTTATAAACTATAGCCGAAGTTAACCAAACCATAAATCAAAATTTTCAAATCGAACAGTATATACCCTGAAAGGAAAAGGAAATAATATGGATAAAGTAATTGATATTTATTTCAACTCACACTTAAGCTTTTATAATAGTATTTTTTTATTTAATCGATTAATTCAGATCGGATATTATAGAAGTAAAAGCAACCCTCTCAACTTAATTTATTTTATTAACAATCGTCAATATTCGAACTTTTGATCTTATAATAGTATTTGCTTGGTTTCAAAACTATTTCAAATAGTAATTGTTAAGCAAAAAAGAAACGAGTAGTACTTGAAATAAAGTAGATAGTGATGGATCCAAATGTAAATTCCAAATTGCATTTTTCGTACAAATAAAATAAGATAGATATTAAGATGTTTGCATTTCATTATTGAGTCCACAATTAAAATTTAATATTAAACTTAGTTAATTTAAAGTTCAATAATTAAAATAAGGGTTACCTATACGAATAGTCACTTATATTTGTGTTTTGTCTATTTTGATCACTGATCTCAAAAAACATAAGATATGGCCACTTTCGTTTTTATTTAATTAAGATATGATCACTTTCGTTTTTATTTAATTAAGATGTGGTCACCCCGAGTTAACTTCCATTAACAGCAGTTAAATATTTTGATATAACCACGCATTTGGTCATTGTTATTTATATATTCTCCCAATTTAGTCTTACTTTTAATCAATTAAAAATAAATTTAATCCTCCAATCGAATGATGTCACATGTCATGCCATATGTCATGGTCTAAAGTAGACATTATAGTGTATATATTTTGTATCTTAGCGTATAAATACTTAAATATGCTAATATTTTATATATATTAACTTAAAAAATATTTTTAATATTCACTTATTAAATATATTTTATTATTAACTTAATTTAAAAATATTTTATTTTTATTTTCATTTAAAAATATATATTTTGAGTTAAAATTTATCTAAAAGTGAGACTAAACTGAGAGAGTATGTAAATAACAGGGATCAAATGTGTGGTTATATCAACTATCACCTTACATATTATGTTAATTGTTAACAGTAGTTAACCCGTGATGACCACATCTTAATTAAATAAGAACAAAAAATTACCATATCTTAATTAAATAAAAACAAAATTAATCATATCTTATATTTTTTAAAATCAGTAACGAAAAATGGATAAAATAGAAATATAAGTAATCATCCATGTCGTTAACCCTTAAAATAATTAATCATGTCAATTGGATCAATTTGATTAAATCAACTAAGACCTACTTTGATTAGTCAATCAATATTAATTGATATTTAAATTAAAATATATTTTATAGTATAGTTTCCTTCTTTTTTGGATTTGAACACTTGCTATCAAGTCTACAGAGTACTGATAAGGGCGAATTATTGGAGGTATTTAAAATGATGATAATAATAATAATAATAATAATAATAATAATAATAATAATAATAATAATAATAATAATAATAACGAGAGTTATTGATTGATATTTTTGATGGGAAGGCTGTGTGGTTTATTTTCTAACTTTCAACTTCCAATAGGAACCCTTATAAAAATTGATCTAATAATATTTTTGAATTTTGATCTTTTATTTTTGTCGAATGAATGGAAAATAGATTTATAATATTTGTATACTTTTAAAAATGTTTACCAAAATTTCCAGGTTTTTATCATTTTATTTTTTTAATAATTTAAATATATTACATATTTTTCTTTTTGATATATTGTAGTTTTACATTTTTTGAACTTTTTTTTTAAATATAAAAAATAAATAATGTCTTTGATTATATTGAACAACTAGACTAATTTTCTAAAAAAACGCAATTTATTTTATAACATTTTTAATCCCTCGATTAAATGAAAATACTCTATCGGTGCCACGAAATGTAAGGATGGGCACGAGACCTGAACCCAACGGGTTTTGACTCGATTCGACCTGATCGGGTTAGATTTTTTTAAAATGTTTGAGTCGGGTTGGATTGGATTTTTAATAGGTTATGTTCGGGTTGGATCGATTTTGGTTTGCAATAAAAAAAATACCTAATCCGACCCGAAAAATTATAATTTGACCTTATATATTTATGGATAATTACAATAATATCAATATATATATTATTTTTCAATTGATTCTCTATTTTTTTAAATAAAAGTATTATTTTTTAACAAATGTATTATTTCGGGTCGGATCTGGTGAGGTTTTATCTAAACAATGTGGGTCAGGTTCGAGCACAGGGTCAGATGAACCCGACCCATGCCCATCCCTAGTTAAATGTGTCTATTTTGGTTTTTAAAATTATATCATTCAAAATATTTTATTAGATAAATTAACAAACAAAAACGCTTATATTTTTTTAACTCTTATATGTGTCGTTCTTTTACTCATATAAAAATAAATCTATTAAATTTATCAATTATCTTTTAGGAATATTTTTTTTATTTCTTTTGATCAAATATAACTCCTAAAATTATACGTATAATCAACATAAAACACAAATTATAAAGTATCGCATATTCGAACTCTTTTGGGAAAATTAATAATTGGGTTTAAATTCTTTAGTATAGATTGTGAATAATTTAGATATGTATCATGGTTTTGATGGAGCTGAGTGGTCTGAAAAGTCCCCAGCAAAAATTCAAAATTCTAATGAGATGAGATGAAATGGTAGGGTAAAGAAAGGCCCCCCAATTTCTGGTTTTGTGCAGTCTGAGTACATGAACATTCACCCTTCCTTTTTCTTCATCATCTCATAAATTCAACTGTTCATTCTTCTTCCTCTGCCACCCCTGCACTGCTAAAACATCAGTATCCGATCCCCATGCCTAAGATGCTCCCCCAATCTTTCTCCTCCATTTTTGATCCTACAAGTCAACTACAACATTGGGTTTTCTAAGTTGTTTAGGTAAATTACGAGTTTAGTATCTAAACTATTAGTTTTAATTCATTTTAGTATCTAAACTTTTATTTTTTTCAAAATCATACCTAAAGTTTAATTTTTGTTTCATTTTAGTATCCCGTCTTTCAAAACTTTAGTTTTGGTTTCATTTTAGTACCCCGTTTAAAATTTAACGGTAAGTTTAAAAAAAATTAGAAGTTTAGATAGACAAAAATTGATAGTTTAGGTATTAAATACATTGTTTTTTTAAAGAAAGATGAGCCTCATTAAAAACCCCTCTTAAATCCTACAAGGGGAAAAGAAAGAGTAAGTTTTCAACAGCGGGTACTAAAATAAAATGAAAATTAAACGTTATGTATGGTTTCGAAAAAAATAAAAAAATTAGATACCAAAACGAATGAAAACCGATAGTTTAAGTACTAAATACATAGTTTACCGTATTTTAATTTTTAATGTTTGACCATAATATTCTGTGATTTTTCTGGTTTACATGTTCTATGGAAATGTCACTCTCATTTGGGTTTGTTCCTTCAATCTTCTTATATACATGAGCGAAATGATAACTTTTGTCCCCAAATCTAGGGTTTGGTTTCCATGTTGAGGGATTTGTGTTGGGAGTGAAGCAAATTGTTAGTTAGAGGGACTCAATCCTATTGTCTCCCCTATGTTTTGTGTAAAGTACACAAATAATTTATGTTATGTTTAGTTGAATCTTTAACTATTAAAAGTTATAAAATGATTATTTAACTATAAAATTTTATTTTATCGAATCTCTCAACTATTAAAAGTTAAAAAATGGTCATTCAATTATTAAAAGTTGCAAAAAAGTCAGTCGACTATTTATATGTTACAAAATCGTAATTTTTCATTAAAAAATTGAAGGGCGTCTAAGCTAGACGTTAACCTGCTAATTCAGATACGAATAGTCAACATGTTAGCATCCAACTCAAACAACCGCCAGTTTTTAACATAAAAAAGAAAATTTTGAAACATATGAATAGTCAGTTGATCATTTTATAGCTTTTAATAAGCAGATGACTCAACAAAACAACGCCCTATAATCAGATGACTATTCTCTAACTTTTATTAGTTAGAGAACTCAACAATATAATGTCTTATAGTCGGGGGACATACTTTACCAAAAAAGATTTATTTTGAAAGTTATTAAATGATTATTACATTTATTAAATAGTTTTAAAATGATCACCAATATTATAAGATTTAAAAAAAAATTAATAATTATTTTATATCAGTAAAATAAATTTGATGATTATTTTTAGTAATTTAGTAAATTCTATTTTATAATTATTTAAAAAATTTAATAATCAGTTTTAGATTTTTTTTTAAATTTATTGAATAGAAAAGTAGGGTAAATTACACGTTTAGTAACTAAATTATTAGTTTTAGTTTGTTTTAGTATCTGAACTTTCAATTATTCCAAAACCATATCTAAAGTTTAGTTTCTATTTTATTTTAGTACTTATAACTCCATAAAAGGCTATAGTTAGGGCATTTTCACTTAAGTTATTGACTATCTTAAAGCATATATAGTTTCATATAGATGCATTTAGGAGCATATTATTGCATTTGGTGGATTCTATTTGTCGTGGCATTTTATTTTGAAAATGGTACTACTTAACGGGGAAGTTAGTGTTGGCTGATGATGTGCAGGTTTATAAAGTCAATGATAAGCAAGAAGAATTACCGTAGCAAATTGAGATGAAGAGGCAAACGTAAATGTCGTGGCATTAGACAACATTTTTGGACAGAAAAAGACAAAAATGACGAAGATATTTTTATGGGAGATGTCAGCTGCCCATGTTTACACGTGAATGTCATACCCAATTATTATTTTTAGGACCACATGACAACCTAGTATCATCTTCATGTGAAGGCATGAATCCTAGGGTACAAAGGGAATTTTAGCACAAAACCCTATGACATTCCCCCAATATAAATAGAAAATGATGCCACAAAAATGAAGGGGATTCTTTGAGGGAAAAAGTGAGGTAGGCAAGAGAGAAAATGAGGGGGTTGAAAGTTTCTATTTTTCCCCTTTCATCTTCTTGGTGGTAACCTCCATATCCAAGCTCAAGGGAGTGGCGAGCTAAGCATCCGATAGGAGTTAGCGTTTTAAGGTGGTTCACAGTATCCCAAGGAAGCTCATGGTAGCGTGCATGTTGGGAGTTTTCTCTATCCTTGTGCTTTCGTTTTTATTTCTATTTTATGGGTTGTAAGGAACAAATTATTTCCATGGATGATTTGTACCCCACCATGTACTAACCTTATTTGGTGTGGGTTATTTATGGATGATTAAGTGTTTATTTTAATGAATGGTTTAAGTTTTTATGTATATTATTTGTTTGCTAATTGTTTTTAATTTCTTAGGATTGTAAGAGCTATGAGAGTATTCATTTCTTAGGTAGAATGCTTATGTTCGAGATAAACTAGGTAAAAGATCCTTAGTGTTTGAGAGAAACTAAGGGAAGATCAACGTGAGCAATGGGTTTTAGCTGCTAACTAAGACCTAATCCACCTTAGAGATAAGGATAAGATTTCAACGACTAAAAGGAGTAGTGCATACTGTTCACGCAGAGAGATATTATCGTGGCATTTTCATCTATCAGGTTCCATGACTAAAGATAGCATAGGGACACTCTTAGTTACCTCTATTAAGCAAATAGACCATAGAAACTTGAATCATTCTGATAGGTTAGGCTTAGGATTCCTTAATATCCCCACCATTCATTCTCATTGTAGCTTGTTTGTGTGAGGATTACCAGCTATCTTACTTATCCCTGAATCCTCAATATGTTTTGCTTTAACATTTTTAATTGGTTACACTCTAAACATCTCGATTTGCCATAATATTTCTATCTACCACCCATCCAAACTACCATTCAAATTCCACCTGCCATATTGCCATTTTGTCACAGCATTTCCATTTGCTACCTTTCCATATTGCCATTGCAACTTCATTTGTGTACAATTCATTTTGCCTCAGCATTTCCATCTCACTTGTTATACCACATTAATTATACTTAGTTATTTTATAATAGTGCATAATCTTTACTCAATATCCCTTCAATCCCTCTTGAGACGATGCTCACTCACCACTATATTACTTGTTCGATTGTGTATACTTGCACATATTTTGGCGTAATTTATAGCACTCACAAAACACGAACAAGTAACCCAATTCAAACTTTAACGTTAAATTGTGGGGGGAAATTAAAAGTTTAAGTACTAAAACATAACAAAACTAATAGTTCATGTACTAAACACTTTAAAATTTTAATAGTGGGTACTAAAATGAAACAAAAATCAAACTTTAGATATGATTTTGAAAAAGATTAAAAGTTTAGTTGTTATTTCAAACCAAAACTGATAGTTTATATACTAAATGCATAATTTACCCTATAATTTAATAATCACTCGAGTAGTTTATCCAAGGCTTAATAAAAAAACAAGTTACAGAACTTTGCCTAAAAAACGATTTTGTGCCTAAAGAATTTTTTCGCTAAAAATTGGTGCTTAAAGTTTTTACAGGTATACATTTAGGTGTCTGCCGTTAAATGACACGTGTCAAATTCTGGTAATTTTGAGAATTTAGTTAAAAATATTTTTTTTTGTAAAACAAAAAAGAACAATGCCCCCCGCGTGATCCCTCTCCCCCCTTTCCCTTGCCTTTTATCTCCTGCAATAGGTCATCCACCGGTAGGCGGTGACCATCACCGCCACTATCATCAGAACTGACGTCGAACTCCTATTAAAACCCCGGTGACCATTCACCGTAAGTTACCGTCGTTTGTCGTGGAAAAGTGTTCGAAGTTTCGTCGAATTTTATGCTATTGTCGCCATTGTTTGTCGATTCAAACCGATCTCGACGTCCATATGCCACGCCGTCACCACCATTAAAACCATCGTCCAATTATGCTTAAAACTCATCCTCGTCGTCGCTCTGTCGATGCTCATTCAGTGTTTCATCACGGTAACGGGATTGAAATGATATATTTTGATTTTTTTAATAATTTCATTAAAAATTTGGAGGTTCTTTTGTAAGTAATTTAATTTTTTAATTAAAATATAATCTTTTAATTATTAAAAAAATATAATGGCGTGCGCCTTAAAGTGTAATTGAAAAAACTTTAGGTACTAATTTTTAGCGAAAAATTCTTTAGACATCAAATTATTTTTCAAAAAAAATTCATATACTTATTTTTTTATTAATCCTTTATCCAAATAAGTTACAATATAATAATAAAGTAGTTTGTTAGACACCAATTTTTAGCGAAAAAATATTTAGATTCCAAATTATTTTTCGAAGTAAAATTCAGATAATTATTTTTTTTATTAATTCTTTATCCAAATAAGTTACAATATAGCAATAAATTAGTTTTTTATGCGGATAGAGTCACGAAACATCTGGTAAATGCGAAAGTCTTAGTTGATATCGTCTTTGTTTCACGTTAGCAAGCCAATGTTCCTCATAATAGAAGTGAGGGCCAAAGTTTGGGGGTTTTTTTAATTAATCACATGATCTATTGATTAATTAATCTAAATTATACATTATAAAGATGAGAGAATATCTTATAACATAGTTTATTTCATTCATAAATATCAAATTTAAACATCGACCTATTAGACCAAACGTAAGTTTTGGTTTGAAAAGATATAGCTATAGAGGGAGGGAGTGGTAAATTGCACGCGCAGTGTGGGGTCTGACGGCGCCCCCACACGTGGGGCATTTGAAAGGACAATGTCAGTGTGGCATCACTCCGATGCGAAATTACCAACGTGCACCATCTCCACCTACACTCTATTACTAATTTATTTCACGAAGCTTCACCGGAATTATCTTTAGGGTAAATCATGCATTTAGCACTTAGTCTATCAATTTTGATCCGTTTCAGTGCCTAAACATTTGATTTCTTTTAAAATCATATATAAATTTAGTTTTTCTTTCATTATAGTATTCCACCTTTAAAAACTTAAATATTTGTTTCATTTTAGTACTCTCGTTCAAGATTTAACATTAAGTTTGAAAAGATTGAAAGTTTGGGTATTAAAATGGACCAAAATTGATAGTTTAGGTATTAAACGCGTTAAGTATTGAACGAAGAGTACTAAAATGAAATAAAAATTAAATGTTAAGTATGATTTTAAAAAACTTAAAAATTTAAGTACTAAACGGATCGAAACTGATATTTTAAACACTAAATGTGTAATTTACCCTTATCTTTATTCTCAACCTCGTTCTTGTGTTTAGGGTGAATAAAACTCAATTCAAATAAATTAAAAAATAGTATAATGTCAAAATTAACCTTTAACATTTATAAAAATGTTCATTTTACCTCTTATTTTATTTTTGGAGTATTTTGACTCCAATATTTCATTTGAGGACAAAAAGACATATAACATTTGACAGAATGATCACTTTGACTCTTGTTGTTTTAGATATTTTAACCATCAATATTTCATTTTAGGTTACAAAAGACTTATTTTGTAGTGTTGGTCGTGTATTAACTAGTGATTTTTATTTATAGAAAGAGATCTTTTTTTTGTTATTGCCATTCAGTTCCAAGGTTTCGCCTTGACTAATTTGTACTGACCTGGGTCCCACCCCTGGTTTCGGTGGGTGAGTCTCCTAGTGGGGATTTTCTGCATACACAATGACTCGAACCTGAGACATTGCTTAAGTGATATCAAGTTCCTTACCACTTGAACCAATCCCGTTGGTATAAAGAGTTTTTTGACCCAAAGTGAATAATTTTTTGTGCCAAAATGCTCAAAAAAAAGAATGAAGATCGAAATAATCATTTTGATTAACAATGGAGGTTTTTTTTGGTATTATATCTAAAAAACATTAGTCTTTTTGATTTGATTCGAGTTTAAAAAAAAAACTCGACTCAGGACGATTTCATTTGATTTTAAAAAAATAAATTCAAATTGAGTTATAAATAGAATGTCGAATAATATGCTCGATTTAACTCAAAAAAAATTCAAATAAGATTCGAATTATAAAGTAAGACTCTTTAATGCAATTTTTTTTTACTTGACTCGATCGAACACTAACCTATATATACGTATGGAGGGTTTTGTTTACACCCATAAGAAGATGGAGGTTAATGTGCATGGATTGCTTGTGTTCTATAAATGAACAGACAGAGACTTTCCAACTTCAATGAACAATCATTATCCTCCCGTCACTTTCCTTCATATACAATTGAATTGTCTGTTATTTATAAAATAAAGTATTCGATTTTTGGTTATTTATTTGCAGATATATTCGATAAGCCCAATCATTTGGCCTGCATGGCTCCTGCTTGGGCTACGGCCTTGTAAACTCGTTAATTTAACATGTCACGTTATCATTTTCGATGAGAGTAAACGATACGATGACTATTTTATAATTGAATAAAAAAATTAATGGCAAAAAATAGCATAAGACTGGACTGTTTTGTTTGGTTCATAGCATTTTTAGCCTAAACTTATGGTTAAAACACCAAGGGATGCACTGATCTGAACAGTGACAAATATTGAGTAGATCATTATAAGGCCGATTCCGAGCGTCTTGTTGGGCCGCATATCGTTACGGGGCAGCACGATGAAGGACCAGACCAGGCCTAATGCCAGAAACCCGATTGTGCAAAACAGGCTGCTATCTTTGGGAACGATGTATGGATCGGGCTTTTTGTTCCAAGCACCGAGAACCAACGAGATGCCTAGACCGGCGAGCGTGTTGAACATCGGTCCGGCGTAGCATCCCGACATGGCGATCTGTACGCTATCCCCGCCTTTCATCGCTAGTGCAATGTCGGACATCAAGTCGCCCATTGAGTTCCCCCATGCCAATACGGTCAGACCAAGGATCGAAGGTTTGATGCGGAAGATCACGCCTAGTCCCACCAACAATGCAACGAGTTCGCTCGCGATCATGTAGAACCAGACTATGCTCATGATAAACCCTCCCAAAACCCATGGAAGCAAAATCCGGCGAGGCGGATGATCGGATGTGGTGAACAGATATGCAGGAACTCCGAGTATAACACCAAGTGTTACGCCAATGAAGTACATAATTTCCTGGCTCAGTGGAGTTGCATCATCATCTTGCGTGTTCCACAACCAAGCGAGAAGTATCGGTGCCAATGCAGCACTAGCCACGGCGTACCCCTTCGACCATCTCTCTTCCACCATGGGAATCGTTAACCGCCTCGGAAGCGTCAACGGGAACTCCAACAACGAAAGGAATTTACAATACGATAACGAAGACCGGTCATTCGACGTTTCCTCATCGTTCCAACCCCACGTCGGTTTTGGATCCTCTGCGGGCTCATCGGAAAAGATCGCCACCCGAGACGCCCACATCCAGCGAGGCAACCTATTTTCGAGACACGGAATGTCGGTTTTCGAGCCGGATTCGAGCAGCGAGGCGTAGATGGAATCCCCCTCTTCATCTCCACTAGAAGATGAACCACCAAATCTAACGGGCAACAATGGCGTGACATACCCCAACTTAAACACCCTAACGTTGATCCTAGCAACCTCATTGAGAACAACGGCGAGCACATAAATCACATAGAGCAAAACGAACAGCAATGCAGTCCCGACAGTGACTTCTCCTACAGTCAAGAACAGGAAGAGCCAAATCAGACAGAACAAGAAGAAACCCGTGTCCCTAACAAACGAATTCCTATCGATTTGGACCCTTTTCTCAGCTATACAAAGCGAGATGATCCCAACAACAACACACGTCACAAACACAGCCCCTCCCAACACACTATTAATCCCAACTTCGCCTGAATTCTTCCCGGAAAATGCAGCAATGCTCGCAAACAGATCGGGAGCGCCGTTCCCCAGCGGCAGCAAAGTAACGCCGGCAACCGTCGGTGACATCTTCAGTAAACTCGAAAGCTTTTCCAAGGAACAGCAGAAGTAATCGGCTGCCGTGTTCCCCAATAGGTAAAACAACGCAACGAGCCATATGGCCAGCACGGTGAACCCCAAGAAGCTGGAATCTTGACAGGTGCAATAAAAGAACTTGATGTAGTTGAAAAACCCACCGGGATTACACTCGGGGTGAGTGATCAAGTAATCGCATTGAGTTTGATAGCCCTTGTGCTCGAACAAGCCCGAGCAAATATTGGGTTTTCGAGCTGTGATTCTTCCACCATCGGTTTCCGTGATTCTCCGGTGGATAATTTCACCATCATCATCAACCCCAACTCTGGGTTTCACTAAAAATGGGGTTTTGAACCCGTTTTCGTGATTGTAAAACAAGAAAAGCAATGCCAAGGCGAATACAGAACGAAACACCCCACGAGATTTGGGTTCCATTTCGCTTCCTCTTTTGCTCGAGGGTTCCAAAACATGTGGATAAATAAGAAGAGAAATGGGGATTAAAAAACAAGAGAGGAAGCTTCATGGAGGCTGCATTTGGAGGAACTAATGATTAAGAGCAGCAAAATCTGCAAATTTTGATGGAAGACAAATTGGAAAGGTCGAGCAACCGACAAAAATAGAGTTCGGTACTGGTTTCCTGGCAGCAGCCAGTAGTTTGGGTTTCAACTTTATCCATGGAATCAAATGATGTGGTGACAAAAAGGTCATTAATGGCGGATGTTGATACAATCTCTTAAAATCAGGATGTTAATACCATAAATTCCAATATTAAACGAAAGGAAAAGAAAATCGATTAAATCTTAGATGAAGATGGAAAAGATGAATCCTCAGCTCATTCTATTTCGGTTAATTCTGATTTTAAATTCAATTAAAATAATAAATCATTAACAACGAGTTAAGGTCATAGTTCATGGAGGCTGCATTGGAGGAACAAGAAGACAAACAATATTTTTCATGATCTAATATCCTAATTGAGCCAAAAACTAAAATCGAATACTAAAATGGAAACAGTTTAGCGTAAGATTAAATGAATGTAGGTATAGTTTAAAGACCATAAAAGAGTTATGGAGATTACTGGCTCCAAAATTAGAAGACACAAAAAAGAAAAAGGAAAGGGGAGAAATGATGTTTGCTTTGTAGGAATCTTCCCTGCAGGTTCTTCTTCTGTCATCTTCTTCTTTCATATACAAATAATCCAACTTTTCAGCTGAAATTCGACGCAAAAAATACACCACCAGTTTTGATACTAGTTCACGTGTTGTACGTACGGATGGGCATGTATTGAATAGGTTTTTCGGTTAACCTGATCGGACCTGAAATTATACATTATCTATAGGGGTGTTTATTATTTAGTTTTAATCGAACTAATCGTCCGAATAGAATTAGTGTTGTTAATTCGATCAGCCACCGAATTAGTTCGGTCGGGATACGGTTAATATTTTTTAATATTCGGTAGGCCTGTAAAAGAACCGAACACACACGAACGAATGTATGTTCATATTCGTTCATTTAATAAATAAACGAACACAAACAAAAATTTTTTGTTCATGTTTGTTTATTAAGGAATATAGCTTGTCTATGTTCGTTCATTTAATAAATAAACGAACACGAACGAACAAGCATAAACGAACAACACAAACACAAAAAAAAACTTATTCGAACACATCAAACGAATGTAAAAAAAAAGTAAACAACAAGAATAACAACTTAAAATTCATTAATATAACCTGCAACTTTAGAGTTAATTTGTTCGAATACGACAAAAACATACATAAATCATAAATAAGCTATATGAACATAATAAAGTCTTGAAATTAATTTGTTCAACAAAACAATCTTCTTGAAATCCAAAAACTTCAATAATCTTCGTAACATATTCAACTTGCACTCTGTTCGAACATAAATGAACGAACATATAATCGAACGTTCACGAACGTAAATGAACGAACGAGCCATTTGTTCATGTTCGTTCATTTAATTAAACGAACGCAAAATCTTGTTCATGTTCGATCATTTAATAAATAAACGCACATAAACGAACTTCCCGCCCGCACGGTGCATGAACGGTTCACTGAACGTTCAGTTCATTTACAGGCCTAATATTCAGTTAACGGTTAATTCGGTTCGAAATCGATTAATTAACCGAATTAACCGAAATTATTAAATATTATATATATTATAAACATATTTTAAGCTCAAACCCATTAAAAATTAATACCATTTTTTTAATCACACTAAACTCATTAAATTATCAATATCTAATTAATTTTTAACTCAAATAAAAAAAATATATTATATTTAAATTAATCTAATTATAAAAAATTATAAAAAAAAGTTCAGTTTGGTTAACGGTTAAAGAAAAAAAAGTTCGGTTAATTTGGTTCGGTCGGTGGCCGAATTAACCGTTGAACGCCCTTAATCATCTATCTGAAACTAGCCGAATTTAGGGGTAATTTCACCCAACCCAAATTCGATCCGGAACTTTGAGATAAATTTCGAACCCGATCCGACTCGACTGAAATAAATATATTATTTTTATTCAATAAAACTAAGGATCTAATTGAAAAAATAGAGAGAGATTTATTATTACAATTATACCTAAATATAAGGTAGATTTATATTATTTTTGAGTCGGGTTAAATTTTTTTACCATAAACCCGAGCTTGACCCAAACATATTTCTAAAAAGCATGACCTGACCTGAATCTGAATCATTTAAAAAAAATCAACTCAATCAAATCAGATCGAATAAAAACCGTCAGATTCGAGTCTCGTACCCGTCCATAGTTGTAAGATTATTTTATACCACATCTGTGTTATTTGCAGGGTTTCAAAATTAAAAAAAAAAAAACACAGCAAACAAAGCTAAAATCTGCATTTTAGTCATAATACGTAAAGCTTGAATCTTTTTGCTCAAAATATTTGTTCGGATTCAAGCTTTTACCGTGACGATGACGGGAAAACCTTAACCTTCTTCTTTATCTTGGAACAATTTTGTTTTGTTAACTATTTCTTCTAGGGTTTTATATAGCAAAACGATTTGTCCAACTTCAGTCATGGTTAAGGGTGCTTATCGAGCAAGTCATTGTGAGTTGGGCAGTGTTCGACTCATGCTCGTTAAAAAATTTGTTGCTCGACTTGACTCGTTGCTCGTCAAGCTCGTTAAAATTTTGCTCGGCTCGTTAAAAAAATTTGTTGCTCGACTCGTTACTCGTTAAACTCACCGAAATTTTTATCATATTTTCTTAACTATAAGTAAAATCTACTCATACTGTGTAATGTATGAAGTAATTTCAAAGTCTAAACTCTAAAATAATAATACATAAATAAATTAAAATAATAAATAAGATTTGATTTTTTAGTGTAGTAAAATATTAATTAATAATTTATTATTCTTTTATTGTTTATTAAAAATTAATAGATTAACTATTTATATCTTTTTTTATTTTCTAATTAGTAAATTAATAATTTTTTTAATGAAATATTTTTTTTAAGATAATTACTAAAAAGTTATATTAAAAAAATTAACAAGTTACTCGCGAACTTATCGAGACGAGCTAGACTTTTCTCGACTCACTCTTTAAGGTTTCGAGTCGAGTCAACCCGAGTTAAGGTTTTACCGAGATGTGACCGACTCGAATTCGAGTAGCTCAACTAGTTAAACACCCTTAGTCATGGTTTAAAATTTGAATTATAGAGAACCGTTGGCACGATCAAATTATAAATTGGTAAAACATACCTTAGGTCACTGGATTATCAGTTCATTACAATCGAGTCACTTTCTCTCTCTCCAAAATGTTATAATTTAATCACTCAATTAGAATACTGCTACAAACAAATCTCTTTATTATTAAAACTAAAGCAGACACCTAACATTTCTTGATATAAACAATAGTTTTAGTAATTAATATTTGTGTATTCTACCAATTTGATCATAATTAATAAAAATTAAATAAATTTAACCCTTCATATTTGAGAATCTATTAGTTTAGTCTATTTTCTTCTCCTATAAATATCATATTACTTTATTGTTCCTTAATATTGCTTTCAATATCTTATGTTGTGTTGAAATTTACTAATGAGGCCTTATGTGTATTTTACCCATTATATATATATATATTTAGAATTTCATTACATCAAGTCATAGTCATACTATCAATTTAATAGTGTCGATGGAAGTCTACAACCGGCATCTACCGGTTATCGATTATATATATATATATTTAGAATTCTATTACATCAAGTCATAGTCATACTATCAATTTTATTAACGACTAAACCAAAATTTTAATCAATTAATAGATTGATTAACTTTAGGTTCAATCGTGTTAATGTTTTTTTTCAAATTCATGTTATCGATTATTTCGGTTCAAAATCGATTAATTAATTAAATTATCAAAAAAATTTGATATATTATATATATTAATTATATGTTATTTAGTTTCAACTGTGTTTAAACTTTGATTTTAATCAAATTGATCGACCAAATTAACAAAATAAATAAAAAATATTAACATATTTAATATATAATATATATTATTTATAAATTCAGTTAACCAAACTTAGTTCGATTCAGTTAATTTTTTTAAAAAAATTTGATTCGAATATCAGTTAAAGGGAAAAAATCCATTAATAAGTTTTGGATAATTCCGTTATCTTTCTCATTATCAACGACCGGTCAAATTGAGTAGACTTATTCAACCAGACGAATGAGTTCTTTACGTAACATTATCTTCAGTCTCCGCCACATAAAAAGCCTCTGTCTGAAGCTGCAAGCAATAGTTTCCACTTCCCATGGCTCTCATCAAACATTGTTGGGTCCTTCTCTTAGTTCTTGTAATAGCCTTTGCACTTCAAATCATCTTCTTCTCGCCGATATCTCCGGACATACTCGAATTGCCATCGGCAACTTCTTCGGTTTCGGTTCCTCCATCGAACAACCGACTACAGGTAAGAATATAATTACATCATGAACGACAACCTCCTCGTCTTGTCTTTACTAGGTTTGTCCATTGCAGAAAGTGATCAAACTTGGAGAAGGGTTGTTGCAAGCTCCGGAGGACGTCGCGGTGGACGAAAAGGGTACGTTGTATACGGCAACTAGGGACGGTTGGGTTCGAAGATTGCATCGAAACGGTTCTTGGGAGGATTGGATTAAACTGGAAAGCAGTACTTTGCTCGGAATCGCAACGGCCAAACGAGGTGGTCTGATTGTTTGTGATTGCGAAAAGGGTTTGCTTAAGTTCACAGATGATGGTGTAACAGTTCTTGCCTCACACGTACATGGATCTGAAATCAGGTAACAGTTCACACCAGCTTTGCTATTGACGGTAAATACCTGGTTCCGACGACTACTGATGTAGCATGCTGTCGAGTTTGATCAGGTATGCGGATGATGTGATTGAAGCATCGGATGGCAGTTTATATTTCAGTGTGGCAACCACCAAATTCCGATTCCACGACACGCATCTCGACTTGCTGGAGGCCAAACCTCACGGCCAGCTTCTTAAATACGACCCCTCGACGGAAGAGACCTCGATTTTGTTAGATGGCCTCTACTTTGCCAACGGCGTTGCACTCTCCAAAGACGAAGCTTTTCTTCTTGTTTGCGAAACATGGAGGTAAAGGCATCAAAAGTCACCACCGCCCGTGCCACGATTTCCATATATATTGTTGTGTTTGATCTTCGTTTTCGACACATCTACAGATTCAGGTGCCTGAAACATTGGTTGAAAGGTGAGAGTAAAGGAAAGACGGAGATTTTCATCGAAAACCTTCCGGGCGGGCCTGATAACATCAACCTAGCTCCGGACGGTTCCTTCTGGATCGCCTTACTCCAGGTACTGAAAACTCCTATATCTAAAAGTTCAACAATAGAGAACACACCTCCATTGATGAAAGCAAAAAGCTTATGATTCAGAGCCTCGGTTGCAGGTGGTTACCGAGGGAACAGAGTTCGTGCACACCTCCAGAGCATTGAAACTGATTATTTCTAATTTCCCGAAAGCGAGCGAACTTGTTTTAGGTGGAATAAAGAAGAAGGCAACCGTCATCAATGTGGCGGCCGATGGCAGCAGCATACGCAAGAGGTTCGATGATCCTAATGGAACCGTCATATCGTTTGTGACATCTGCCGTTGAGTTCGAGGACCATCTTTACTTGGGCAGCCTCAACGCCGACTTTGTAGGAAAATTGCCACTCAAATGACTTGAAATCCTCTCGAAGAACAGATTGCAGAGCAGAAATAGCAGTCTATGTAATGGTAGAAATTGGAAACATTAGACAAAAACGATCATTTAGTTAAACATATGGTCTTTAACAACTTCCTTCACCGTACATAAAGGATAAAATAACATACCTGCAGTGTTTCCTCTTAAGTAAAAGCAGGGTCATTCATAAATACAACACGAAAACTAAAATTTTATTAATGTATTAACCAAACTTCACACCGTAGATTTGCTCATCTCCATCTCTATGAAATCCTTAATGTCAAAAGCATCCTTCGTGTCGTTCTTTGTAATGACACCCTGCTTAACAATTAGTCATCAGAATGTAATTACAAAATGGGTTAATTCATTGGTAAATCGATAAACGGTTATAGAATACGAACTTTAAAAGATCTTTCAAATACATGAAAAATATTTAGCAAGAATTGAATGGCATCGGTACATGCTGATATTTGAAGTTCGTCCGAATTCGACTAGCATATCCATATTAAGACATGAATGATTGATGTTTATGTCTACATGCACACAAAACAGAGAGAGGGAAAGAAGGTGAGACCTTTTCTGTTATGATACCGGCTGTTAGATTGGCGGGGGTGTCATCGAAAGCCGGGATCCAGACGGAGATACTGGAAGCAGCCACATGCTCACCCAGTCCTCTTGAGTGCAATAACTCCTTGGCCGATCTTTCCTCGATAACAATTTTCTTCCCAGAAGAAAGTGATAAATCGATGGAAGTAACCGGTGCAGCATCGTAGAATGGAATATGATGACACGTTGCACATAAGGCAAGGCTATAAGTTCCAATCTTGTTAGATTTTCTTGAGACTATATTCTAATTTCGTTTCAAGGAAAGAAGCAGCATCCCTAGCTGTCCCATTAAAGTCCTCTAAGTTGGCGACCTCAACCGCCAACGAAAGGGCCGCCGCTATGGCAATAGCAGGCGCCCCTCGAACCACCATATCCCGGATCGCCTTCCTAATAACCATCAAACAGTTTATTCAACTTGACTTTTTAATTCCAATGAAATTCAAAGAACATAACTGAACTACTCCATTACCATCCATCTATTGAAACTTGAATGTCTATGTACACGGTTTCCAGAGGAAGTTTTCTCTGATCAAGTTCAACAACAAATAACACAATTCATTAAAGAAAAAAAAACCCAGATCAAAGACGTCCTTATAATAAGGTATCAACACTCGAAACAATCAAATTTAGCTACAAAAAATGAATGAAAAAACTAGACCTGGTCAAGCAACTGAAGGGAACCACGTTTGTAACAGATAGCCTGGGGAGTGTTGTCAATTGCAAGCCCGTCCATCGACTTAGAATCAGGCGTCATTCTGATGGCTTAATATCATTTTGGAGAACAAAATTCCTTCTTAAAGGTCTTGTTCCTTTTGCTTTTTTGGAAGGAACCTTCTTAAAGGTCCATACAACTTATTAGGGCCATTTGTTGAAGCCCATAGAGAGGAGTCCATTTATGAAGGCAAAGCGGTTTTTCAGCCCAATAGGGTAAACAATTTTATCAATGAGCCCAATATATAGAAGTTTATTTTGAAATATACGATATTTATTATAGTAATTTCAAACTTATTATATCGACGTTACGAGTTTTAATAAAAAAATATTTTTTATTTAAACTTTTACTCTTGATATGATAAATTTTAATTAAAGAATTATATTTTATTAAAAATCATCACTTCAACGTAACAAGTTCATTAAATACTATAATAAATGTCGTATATTCCAAAACAAATTTCTATAAGTACTATTAAGCTAATTAATAAAACTGTTTTCTCTATTAGGCCAAAAAAAAGGAAAAGTTATTCTGTTTTAAAAAACGTTCGCCCATATTCAAATATTCTTACAAATAGTGAAAATCTTGTAATTAATAAATTTAGATTTGGTGTTGACATTTTTAAATTTTATTTTGTTTTTATATTATGTATTTTTATTTTTTTAGATTTTAATTATATCCATGACACGTTTTCTCTACTTTTATGATATGTTTTACTTTATCATTCGATACATTTTCGATAATGTGATTGTTATTTCTATTTATATTTTTTCTCAGCGTTGGATTATACAACTCCATGATTGATTAAGATATAATTTATTTTTTTATCATGCTGATATTTCCTTCTTTGGACCCCCGGATTCGATTTAGATACACAATTTACGTTTGTGGATAATTTTATCACATCGTTCGACTCTGATTTACGGTTTGTCAAGAATGTTTTAATAGTTTAATTAGTTTTTGTAGTTCCTTTCTTGATGTAGTTAGATCTATTCATATTTGAATGTTTTTATTAAGCTTTAACTTTTTTCTTGTATGGCCCTTTTGTGGATTTAAGGACAAGTTTATAGTGTTAGTGATTATAAAAAATGTTTTAATTATTTATTCAATTTCTGATTATGTAATTTTGCATATTTTTTGGGGGTAAAGTACATAAATATTATCCTGACTAAAGGGTATTACTTTATTAAGTCTTTCGAACTATTAAAAGTTCCTCTGACTATATAGTGTTGCTTAATTAAATCACTCAACTGTTAAAAGTTACAAAATAATCACCCGGTTATTTATTATGTTCCAAATTCTTCATTTTTTATTAAAAAATTGATGATTATATTTCATCATATCATAGTTAATAGGTTAACGTTCAACTCATAATACCGTCAATTTTTAACAGAAAATGATGAGTTTTAAACATAATAAATAATCGAGTGACCATTTTGTAACATTAATGGTCGAGGGACTCAACAAAGTAATACTTTATAGTCGAATGACTATTTTATAACTTTTAATAATTGAGGGGCTTAATAAAACAATACCATGTAGTCGGAGAACCACTTGTATACTTGTATAGTCGAAAGACTATTTTATAACTTTTAATAATTGAAGGATTTAATAAAACAATACCATTTAGTTGGAGAACCACTTGTATACTTGTATAGTCGAAAGACTACTAAAATAAAACAATATCCTAAATAATACTTATACACTTGTATAGTCGAATGACTATTTTATAACTTTTGAGAATAGGATCAGCTAATTTATTTTTATCCTATAATCGAATAACCACTTGTATACTTGTATAGTCGGAGAGCAAATAATTAAAGGCTGACTAATATAAGATAGTGCTTTCTTCATGTATTTATAATTATTTTTTAAAATTTTTTGACTATATAATTAAAAAAATATATTGATTATAATTTAAAAAAATATTATTTATAATAATAACTTAAGAATATGGTAAAATCGTATACTAGTTAGTATTATTATGTTATTGTATTTTTAGTTAGTGTACTGAAAATAATAATAAAATAAAATTTTCTGTATATGATTTTTAATTTGACTTTATAGATTAAAATCTGCCGACCTTTTCATTTATTTACTTTATATGCCACATCGAATGACTCAGCAGATTTTCACTGGCCCACCCACCTACACATCCCGAGTCGGGGTGTAGTTATCTTCTGTTACGCGTAACCATCGTAAAATCATTCTGCTGGCCAACTGTATTCAGTCACGTCATGATTCCTCAAACATCTTCATCCCAACAATGATTTATTGATTATAAAGTAATATTTTATTAAATAATTTAACTATTAAAAATTTTAAAATTTAATTATAGCTTTTTTTATCGAGTCAATCGATTATTAAAAATTATAAAATAATCATTTAACTATTTATTATATTATAAACTCGTTTTTTTTTGTTAAAAATGTTATGGTCGTCTAAGTTGAAAGTTAACAACATAATTGAAATATGATAGTTGTTTGAGAATTTGTAATCATATTTTAACATATGTTAACATTTAAGCTTAAAATATCGTTAATTTTTAACAAAATATAATGAGTTTGTAACATAAACAATAGTTAGATAATTATTTTATAACTTTTAATATGATCATTTTGTAACTTTTAATAATCGAAATATTTAATAAAATAATATTTATAGTTAAGAATTGTTTGTATACTTTATCTTAATATTTTTAATTATTTTTAAATTATTTACGTGTATGCTTATCAAATAAAAAATTAATAATAAAATAAAAAAACCTATCTTTTTAAATAAAAAACACCATAGAATTTTTTTTATAAAATAAACTATAAGAGTTTAATTTAATTTCAAAACAAGACATCAAACTTACGTATTTAAGCATTAATTTATCTAAAGAAAAGCGACTCTTTCTTAATTAATTAATTGTTTATTTTTAAAATACTCGAAAATAATAAACGGAAACAAAATCGGTGCTCACGACACTGCAAGAGTCCGATTATCGAAGTAATCCCATTAAAGAAGAAAGAAAAAAAGGATTTTTGTTTTGAGTTTCGATTTAATGGCGGTGGAGGATTTTGCAAACGCGGTGGAGGACGGTCTAAAGCTAGCGAAGCGGGTATACTTGGGGAAAGAAAGGAGAGCGGTGGCGCCACCTCAGGCACCTCCGTTGATGGAGAGGTCACCGAATTGGTACTTACCGTCGGCGCCGATTGTATACGCGGTTATATCCGACCCGATGATAGTCGACAACCCGGATATTCCCAGTTACCAGCCTTACGTGCATGGAATGTATGACCGACCGGCTCTGATTCCTCTCCAGATGATGGGGATCAATCTCGAAGTCGATTGTTATTTCGATACCGCCATTATTGTAGCTTCTGGGACGTGGAGGGTTCATTGCGTTATGGGTTGCCGTTCTTGTGATTGTCGTATTGCTGTCCCTATGGGCCACCAGGTTAGTTCACATGCTCGCTCGTAAAAGTACTGGTTTTCAGCTCAACAAGTTCCTATTTGCTATTTGATTCTGAAAATTCTGTTTCTTTCTTTTAATCTTTTGATATATGAAAAATTCGTGGGATTCAATTTGCTTTGTCTTTCAGCTCAAGTTGCTATTTTTCAGCTCAAGTTGCTATTTTTCAGCTCCAGTAGTTTCTATTTGCTATTTGATTCTGTTTTTCTGTTTGTTTTTTATTTTATCATTTGATTAAACGAAAATTCATGGGCTTTAATTTTCTTTTGACTTTAACTTGTAGTACGAATACCATGAAGATTAGAAAGAGAATAGTGAAGCTGTAAAGCTTAACTATGAACTATTGGTTCTTCTACTTGGCAGGCCGTAACATTGGAGTGTTCTTTCTACAAGAGAAAATTATCATTATATTATTTCTTTGCTGAACTTGATTCAGTGTTTGGATTGGTTTTATCAATGTAATCTCAAGCAATAATAAAATATTTGCCTAACAGGGTTCAATTCTAGGTGTTGAGATTGATATCCCCACAAAATCGTGTTCTACTATAATGATTGGAGAAAAAGAAAGTACTGCTCTTCGAAAGATAGCGAGACCAGAAGATGGAGGGTTTCTGAAACCTCACATATTTACGCTAACAATACCACAGGTAGTACGATGCTGTGCTAAGTTATAACGAATTAAATCGATGTACTTTGTTATATTGTCTTTTGCTTCCAATGGATGTCTTTGTTTTATGTTCCCAGATTGATGGCGGTACTAATATTTCGATTAAGCTTCGCTGGTCCCAGAAGTTGGCATACAATGAGGGGCACTTTTCGTTGACTGTGCCCTTCCGTTTTCCAGAATATGTTACGCCTGCTATAAAGAAAATTTCAAAAAAAGAAAGGATACAATTGAATGTGAACTCTTGTATAGTAGAGGGAATCTCGTGCAAGGCAACTAGTCATCCTTTGAAGGTGCATATTTTGATCAAGGATCATTGTGCTTGTGTTTTTATTTTTTGGCTTCTAATGAATGATATTATTAGTTATTATTTAATACCATTTGCTGTTATTTTTTACCCAAAATTTTGCAGGAAGTAGGACGGCGTGAAGGGAAGTTTAATTTCTTATATGAAGCAGAAATTCTTAAATGGTCAAATACTGACTTTAGTTTCACATATGGTGTAAGAATCATATTAACTTGATGTGATTATCTTTTCCTTGGAATATAGAATGATTGTTTCCTGAATGTTTCCTGAAACATGAATAAGCCTAAAGTTTTACTTAAACTAGCGACTTGTTGATATTTTCATGAGAAGTACCTCAATTTAATATGACCGGGGTACTGATAATTGCATCTTGTCTAAATCTTTTTTTAGGTTCCTTTGGAGAACATATTCGGAGGCATACTTTTGCAGTCTCCATCTTTATATGATTACTACCAAAGGGACTTGTTCTGTATTTATCTTTTCCCTGGAAGTCAGCAGAGTATGAAGGTTGGTGTAGCATTTGTTCGACCGATAGGTTCTTCTTTTCGTTATATATTTATCCTCATCTTTTTTTCGGATTTGATAGGTTTTCAGAAAAGATGTTGTATTTGTTGTTGATATAAGTGACAGCATGCAAGGAAGCCCACTTGAGAGTACCAAGAATGCAATATCTGCAGGCCTTTCTAAGCTCAGTCCAGAAGACTCGTTTAATATTATAGCTTTTAGCAGCGAGACTTTTCAGTTTTCAACGTCCATGGTGCTGGCTTCCAAGGAAGCAATTGAAAGGGCCACTGAATGGATTAGTACGAAATCTACTCTGGGGGGTGGTACAAATTTGTTTATTCCACTAGAAAAGGTAAGTTATAATTATTTTGTTTTTGGTTATACCTCTTGTGTTCTCTGAAATGGCTCAAGAGACTATAATCTGGTTAGCAACCTGCTTTCGCTCTCGTTGCAGTTCCAGACAAGATGATTTAAGATAGTACTCCTTTCTCATGATCTGCTCCACATGACTGACTGTTGTTTACTTTTGTCAGGCAGCTGAGATGCTATCTAACACCCGTGGTTCAATTCCAATGATTTTTCTTGTTACTGATGGGTCTGTTGAAGATGAGAGAAACATTTGTCATTGGGTGAAAAAGCGTTTGACAAATCAAGGTTCATTATGTCCAGCTATACATACTTTTGGCATAGGTAACTTTCATGTTTGAAACTTAAAATCATATAAAACCAAAATTCCGTTATTAGATGCGTTCTTTACACCATAATTGTTAGTTAATTTTCCGTGTGAGAATGTTTCAGGTTCATTCTGTAATCATTATTTCCTGCGCATGCTTTCCATGATTGGCCGGGGGGAACATGTTGCTGCTTGTGATCTAGGTACGTATGTCCTGAATTTACATTTGAACTTAAAATCAAAGAATGGTTATGCAATGGAATTTTTTTGCACAGGTTGCTAGAATTCTTTTAAGTTTTCTTTCTTTTCTTTGAAGGAAAATTTTTGCGGGTCTTTTCCATGATCTTTTGATCAATCTTATTATGCATTTCGATGATCTTTTGATCGATCTTATTATGCATTATTGTCTCCCAGTACTTTAACCTGTTTCGATTTCCCAGATCCTATGTTGAGTATAATTTTGAACTCTAAGCTCCTCATCAACTAATATATCTAAAAAAAATCTTGATTTTTAGGGATGCATTAAGGTTCATGTCAAATTTCATTAATCTTACTATTTTCCCGCTTCTTTCCAGATTCAATTGAAGCTCAGATGAAAAAGTTATTTACAAAAGGTTTATCTACTGTGCTTGCAAACATTACCATTGATGCATTCGGTGATAATGAAGAAATAGAGGTGTGTTTGTCTGTATGCTTGTATCTGTTTCATTCATCTACCGCAGCTTATTTTCCTCGTATCTAACTTTCTATGTTTCATTTGGCAATCGTTCTTCTTGTCTAAATATTCCCGTGATGTTTTGGGCCAGTTTAACCTGACTCATGAGTCTTATTGTTCCTGCCTCTAGTGCTCCACTTTTCATTTGAGTTCCGGTGTCAGACACTCATGTCCTACACATATTTGGACATGAGTATGGGGATACAAGTAATGAGTGTCCAAACACATGGAAAAACTTTAAATATATATATATATACACATGCTCATGTTGGACAGATATTCGTAGCAACACTCACACTCAAGTCCAAGTAACATTGGCTCCATCGGTCCCCTTCATGTTGATTTCCTTGTTTCTTGTTTGCTTTGATTCACCTGTTTCCCACCTGGGAAGCAATAATTCTGCTCTAACTATTGTTATTCAGGTTCTCTTTTGTCTGACTTGATTTGGCTTTCTTCTACAATTTCCTCGATAGGTATACTATTCCCGGATTCCTGACCTTTCACTTGAAAGCCCGTTGACAATATGCGGGAGGTACCAGGGAAGTTTTCCCGACAGTGTAAAAGTTAAAGGCATCTTAGGTGATTTGAGTAGCTTTATAATGGAGTTGAAGATACCAGAGGCTAAGGATATTCCTCTTGACAGAGTAAGATGCATACTTGTCCACAGATTCCTTTTTATATTACCTGTATCCAGAATTAGGCCGATGTCATTATATTCATTGTTTGAACTTCCATCCGGCCAAAAGCATAAACAGTATGTTACCGGCCCATGATGCAGCATATATATTCGAACTTCCATGTCTTCGTCAATTCTTGCTTCCTTTGTGGGTGCATCACGGTTAATGATCTTTTAATGTTATATCTTTGACCCAATTGTTTGTATTGCCACTTTTCATCGAGAGTATATATATATTTTTTACTTGTATACCTCAACGATTTGCACATGAAGAATTTTGTAATTTCCCGTTTTCTCTAACAGGTATTAGCAAGACAGCAGATTGATCTACTCACAGCTCGGGCTTGGTTATCGGAAAATGAACAGCTTGAGGAGAAGGTTTGTATAAAATATTTCCAACATTTTTTTCCTCAATCGGTAGGACATGGTAGGATCACAATAAATACTTTGATTCGAACACTAGTAAAAATTACGTTATAGCCCGGCTATAGCAAGAAGTTGTTGATGCACCGATGCTCCTTAGTCATGAAAAGAAAATCGCAGCCATGCGATATCATTTTCCAGCCATTTAAAAGGTTCTCGATGGATATATCCTTTACGAATTACTCGGTGGCCACGTGAGCTGAACTGCATGATTATGAACGTAGTCGATTTTGTTTCATTTGACCGGACCGCACCACATTTATTAGTAGTAAAATCTGTTGCTGATGCTATTGATTTGTTATTGGCAGGTTGCAAAGTTGAGCATGCTGACCTGCAACGTCTCCGAGTATACTCGAATGGTCCTACGTGAGAAAAATAAAATTGTCAAAGCCGCAAAACATTCTGGAACTTCAAAGGTATCATCTGGCCCGTATACGATACGAACATTGTCTATACTGTAGTAACTAGGTCCAACTAAGTCATGTTGGGGTTTCTTCTTTTCGTTTTATTTCATATATGCTAGCCGAGAGTGCACTTAAATGTTTTCACTCGAAACACTGCTGAAGCCGCCTTCTCATTTCCGGTTAATGTTTTGGCATAACAGAAGAAAGGCGGCGATCCACACAAAATAGTGGATTCCGAACCGTCTGAAATGATATTGCTTCAAACCCTTTCAGTTGGTTTCGGTGACCTGATTTCGACCGCCAGAAACATCCATCCCGGATCTCAAGAACCGAAATTGCCTGAAGCTGCGGAGATTTTTATTAAGAAAACTTCAAGTTGCTGTGATCAGATATGGAAATGGTGCTGTTGCACGAGCTGCATCCATTGTTGTTCGAAGATGAATGCTCAATGTGTCACTACGTTAACACAGCTGTGCACTGCCCTGGCATGCATTGGCTGCTTCGAGTGTTGCTCGGAACTATGTTGTCCTGGCCAAGACGATTAATAAACTCACTTCCGAGAGTCCGACTCACCTCGATCGGTTCTCAAATCGGGTTTGCCTGTATAGTTTATAGACCTGAACAATCCCTAAAAGATTAGTCCTTCATTTGAACCAATTATTTCTAGAATCTTATATAGAAAGGTATTGAAATGATTGTTTTCGTTCAAATTTTTGTCCAAATTTGGGTAAATTCTGGTCCTTGTAGATCGAAAAACATGACAAATCCCAGTGTGGAAGCAACGAGCAGCTTTACGACTATCATATCTCATATGATAGATTAACATTCAACTTATATTGTCCTTAATCTTTTAACAAAGAAAAAGAATATGTTTGTAACATAATGAATAGTCAGGTGATCATTTTACAATTTTTAACAGTAGAGGGACTCTACAAAATAACATTTTATAGTTAAAGGATCACTCTGTAACTTTTGATAGTCAGGGAACTCAACAGAGCAATACACTATAATCGATAAATCAATTGTGTACTTTATCCTATTTAATTATAGTTGTTTTGACTTTGACGTAAATATAGATTAATAATTTTATTTTATATTTTTTAATTGTATCGGTTATAGTTTTGAAATTATTTAAATATATTAATTTTTATTCTTTGATCCACATTTTTTATTATTATGTCGATGTGATATTTTATGTGCGTCTGATAACAATTCAAAGTTCAAACTTTGAGAATAATATAAGATTAATTCTTATATGATTATTAGGATTTTTAAGTGACAGTAAATTATATATATTTATATAATTTGAATGCAATTTGTGTCAATTTTATTAATTTGTCTAATTTTTTTATTATTTAATTTTGTTTAACCGGCGGCGACACATGTTTTGATGCTATTTACCGTATGTCGGTTATCTTTTGTGGTTTATTTGACGATGTAATCAGATTTGTTGATATCTTTATTTGGCTCTTGTGTAATCTAGGTGACTAATTTTTATGTCAATGGTTATAGGAAAATATCCTAATTATAATATTATTTACGTTATATTTGTAAATTTTTATTGTAATGATAAATATTTTTTATTTTTAATAAAATTAACGATTTTCTGTCAAAAATAAATAAAATTATAATAGTAGTTGATTTTTCCAATCTCTATTTCAAACTTAAAATAAAAAAATCGTAAATGATCGAACATAAAATCAAAATAAACTTAAATAATTTCATACTAAACTCAACTAAAAAAAGGGCACCGGCCTTTATGGGTGGCCTGGCCATGGCAGCTTGGCAAACGCGTCGCGAATTGTAACGCGTGGTAGGAACAAAATTGTCGTGTCTTCCACTTACCAAAGTCTTCCACAAATAAATAATTTGTATACATAAAATTACTGACAAAACTTTCGAGATAATGTTTTGGAAAAAATTAATTCACGATATAAAGCACTCCCAAGATTAATTGCTCAAATAAGGTGAAATCCACAGTGTTGACCGTAGGTCGTCATGCCTTCCGGGCGACCTACTAGGTCACCATGTCTTTCCGGCGAGCTACAAGAGATTGCATGTGTCATGCACGTCCCAACACGCTGGGCATCCGAGGCCATCCGAACGAGCTATGCGAGCTATGCGAGGGAAGCCGAGTGAGCTATGCGAGGGAAGCCGAGCGAGGGTAGGTCGCCCAGAGTGCATGGCGACCTACAAGGTCGTCCGGAGCGCATGGCGACCTACAAGGTCGCCCGGAGGGCATGACGACCTATGTGTTGGGACGTGCATGTGCCATGCAACACGTTCATTCTCTCTGTTTGAGTAAGGGTAGGTCGCCCTGAGTGCATGACGACCTATAAGGTCGCCCGGAGTGCATGACGACCTACGGTCAACACTGTGGATTTCACCCTATTTGAGCAATTAATCTTGTGAGTGCATTAGCTCGTGAATTAATTTCTTTCAGAACATTATCTCAAAAGTTTTGCCAAAATTACTTAAAACATTTAATTGTATAGTTAATTCGAATATTGCATTTTGAAACTTCTGTGTGATAAAATAAATATAATAATAAAAAACAAAACTTATACACCTATTGTCAATCAACAAAAAGCAACGAAACCAACACTCTATCTCACAAATAAGCATCTCCAACAACCCAATCATTGGCCATTTGAACCAACATTCCTCACGAATTTTTATCACGAAATTAAAAAAAAATTAAAGATTAATATATATATATATATATATAAATAGGAAAAATAGCGTCTAGGGATGAATCGAAGGTGGTGGATATAATCACTCATAATATTTTAAAAATATCATATCATTTAGATTTTATTTATTTATTTTTATAATGATAATTTATTTTCGACCGTTGAAATCTTATTAATCTATCTCCTTTTAAAATTTTAGAGGTTCACCTCTTAATATAATATCGTGCATCCGTCCGTGACCGTACAAGCCAAAACTTAATTTCGTATATAAAGGTAGGCTTTCAAGCCTTCGAATTTTTATCTCGTAATACGAGTAATCCATCGTTCTTGTTTTTGAATTTTTATTTACGAGAATCGAAATTAAGAGATTAATTAATCTCAGTAATATTACGGGTAAACTCACGAAATAATGCACTCAAAATAAATAATTCACGAAATAACGTTCTCCTAATATTATTTGCTGAAATAGGGCAAAATCAACAGTGGCCGTAGGTCGCCATGCACTCCCAGCGACCTCCTAGGTCGCCATGCACGCCCGGCGACCAAGGAGGTCGCCATGCACTCGCGGCGACATCCCCTGCTGCATGCTCGCCTGCTCGCGACCTTGCCGAGACTCCATGGCGACCTACACATGCACGATCTCCCCATTCTTCCCATGCATGAACCGATCCTTGGTCGCCCCGAGTGCCCCATGCATGAACCGTTCCTTGGTCATCCTTGGTCGCCTCGACCTTGGTCGCCTCGAGTGCCCCATGCATGAACCGAGCCCCGAGTGCATGGCACGATCTCCCCATGCATGAATCCTTGGTCGCCCCGAGTGCATGGCGACCTCCTTGGTCGCCGGGCGTGCATGGCGACCTAGGAGGTCGCTGGGAGTGCATGGCGACCTATGGTTGGGTTGTGCATGTCCCAGAAGCAAGCCACATCGTAGGTCGCCCGGAAGGCATGGCGACCTACGGCCACACTGTTGATTTCGCCCTATTTCAGCAAATAATGTTGGGAGAATGTTATTTCGTGAATTATTTATTTTGAGTGCATTATATCGTGAGTTTAGCCGTAATACTACATTAGAACAACGTGGAAAGAAAAAAAATAGCATTACTCTCTTACATATTATATGGAAAAAATTATTAAACGACAATGAGCAACAATGATAAACAAATCTAAACCCACCACCTCCACCATTGGGCTGACAGACGAGGCGGCCGCCGGCGAGAACCCGGTTAAATCCTCACCGTTTAAATGAACTCAACTCTGTTTCTTTCTAACATCGCCCAGTAATCATGTCGTTATCACATGATTAATGTACGACTTACGATCCGCGCCACGTGAAACAATCAGCAAGCGTAAAACTCGACAAGCTCCTCCAATGACTCGGGTTGAGGGTCGGCATTTTCGAGCATCCAAAGCAAGTGCTCGAACAGGACGACCTCGCACGACACATTGACCTCCGGCGCCGTGTCGTTTCCGCCCGACGACGTCGACCGTCCCGCGAGTTCACGGAACAGAGGGTTGTGGATAACGTCGGAGCTAATGAGGTAGCGTCTCCGGGATTTCCCGACGAAGACGGGGTGGAGATTGGCCGACGATTCTTCGCTGTCGTAGATGATGTCGGAAGCTGCCACGGCGGCCGTCGACATCGGACAGCGGCTCTGCTTGTTGTTGAATGAATTGAGCTTCTTTAAAACTGACAAGAGCTTCGTTAACTTGTTGCTTCCTTTCGCCATTGCTTCTTTCGGGGGAGGTTTAACCGTTTAAGGGATTACAAAGAGTTTTTCTTTCAAGCTTTTGGCTTGGTAGAGAAAGAAAGGCGCCTCCGAGCTAAGAAAAGAGAAAGAAGGCTCTTTTATAAAGGAGTACGGGTCCTAGGGGAGGGATCGAGCCGCTAAGCCAATCTCGGATATTAATCCGACCCGAAAATTTAATTAAAATAATATTTTCATAATTATTTAAAATATCCTATTTGACCCAAAACTCGAATTTTATTAAAAAATATAGTATTATATTAGATTGGATCAAAACCTACTGAATATAATTTCTTTTACCATCATTATTTAGAACCCGAGTTCGAGTTCCATATTATCTAAGATCATATCAAAATGACCCGAATTCTTAAATAAGTCTAACCAACTTGGGATATTGCCACAAGAGGAGTGGATTTTGAAGAGAACGAAGGTATGAATTAGTGAGAGCATTTTGTCATTATTTGGCACTTTTGAAATCTACTTACCAACTAGAACGTGGTTGTGTGCACCTTTTAGAACAAATGATTCAACTACCATTCAAAATTTAATATATTAATGCCTTGTGTCGGATAAATTTTAAAATATTTTTATTTATTGAACAAAAACTAAACTTTAGGTATGATTCTGAATTCTTTTATGAAAGTTTAAGTGTTAAAATAGACCAAAACTGAAATTTTAAGTACTAAATGCATAATTTACCCTTATTGTTTTATACGTGAAATTAGATAGAGAATTATATTATCGGCTCTTCGGATTCGATTAGGAATGATAAAAAAATTGTAAATTTCCATTTTTCTCAGTTACCTAAAAATAAATATAAAAAGAGTAATGTATACAGTTGATCATTTAATTATAAGATAATATTTTAATAAGTTTCTCGATTATTAAAAATTATAAAATATTATTTTTTTAAGTTATCTGACTTTTAGAAATTACCAAATAGTTATTTAACTATTCATTATTTTCTAAACTCATCATTTTTTGTTAAAAAACTGACGATTATTTAAGTTAAAAGTTAATATGATGACTGAGATATGATAGTTGTTTTAAATTTTAAGATCAGATTTGTTCATATCACAATCAGCATGTTAACGTTCAACTCATAATACTGTTAATTTCTTAACGGAAAATAACAAATTTAGAATATAATGAATTGTTGAACGATCATTTTGTAACTTTTAATAATCCAAAGATTCAATAAAACAATTTTATATAGTTAGAGGACTATTTTATAATTTTTAATCTTTATAAATCAATATCTTATATTCGAATGACCATTTGTATACTTTACTAGTAAATAAATTTATTTAAAAGTTTAAAACGATTTTCGTAAATTATTTATAAATTACTATTTAAATTAAATGCAGAGCTTTGTTAAAAGTGAAGTTTCATAAAACAGCTTAAACATGGAAGATGAAGAACCAAAGTCGCAAACAACAGAGATCAAAGAGTACGGAAAGATTAAAAACAAAAGAAAAATTACAAATCAAAAGAGTGTTTTCTTGTTCGATCAAACGAAGATTATTCTCGGCAACTCACAAAACCATTCCAATGGTTTCAAGCAAAGCTTCAATCTACTCTTCAACTGCCAAAGGAACCGATTCAGCCTGCAAAACAGTTTTATTTAACAGCGTTAACGTGTTGAAACCGGACCGGATAGACGGAGGAGAAAGAAATAACGGCGACGGCGCATGAGAAAATACCAGTTTCCGGTACTTGAGAGCGTAGAACATCTCGAGGTAACGACGGCTCTCGCGGCGGTCGAGGTTGGAGACGTGTTTCCAGAAACCGTACACGCCGGTCAGCGTCAATAGTCTCTCGGAGTAAATCTGCCATGTGTACCTGATTCGGGAAAAATGCAGAGATATAAGAACAAAGTAGTTAACTTGGGCGAGAAGAAACAAAGAAATGTGATTTTTGCTTACTTCTCCTCTATACGCCTTAAGCCTTCCTCGGAGATCTTGGTCCAGTGAGACGGGTCTGTCTTGCATTTCTCGAAGAAGTCGACGAGGATCTCGGCAGCTTGATCGCCGTGGTAAGGGTCGATGTTGAAGCCAGATTTGCCGTGAACGATAATCTCGGCAGGTCCACCGTTGCAAGTTGCGAATGTCGGCAAACCGCAAGTCATTGCCTCGATGACAGTCAATCCAAAGGCTTCGTATAATGCTGGCTGTACGAAGGCACCCTTTGTGTCGCAAACATATCGGTAAAGCTCACCGTTCCTGACTCTGTTCATTTGGGATGATATCCATCGGAACTGACCATTCAGCTTGTACTTCTCGATGAGCTCAAACATCTTTGCCATTTCGGCCTTCTCTTCCAAATCCTTGGATTCTTTCCTCCTATCTCCACCGACCACAACGAGGTTAACCAACTCTCGCAACTTGGGGTTCTTCCCATACCACTCGACAAGTCCGGTTAAATTCTTGACGCGGTCCAGCCTTGCCATTGTGAATATAATTGGCTTGTTACGGTCATTTAGCACACATCTGTTGGACAATGAAATAACAAATTATTATGAGTTCAAATGGATAATTTTGAATAGGTATTGTTTCGGTGTGATTCGCTTACAAGTGTTCTTCGTTTTCATCTTTGCCGTAAACAAGTTGTTCGATATCGGCATGGAGATGCTTTAATCTCCTCTTCTCCTCAGTGTAAGGGTAGTATATGTTCATGTCAGCACCGGGGGACACAATGTTGAATTTAGGATCGAATACATCAATTCCGTGGACAACACGGTAGAGACCGGGAAGAGTGAAAGCAGTGTGACTCTCGTATTGACCAACGGTGTCATTGCTGAAATCATAAGAATATCAATGTTAAAGGTCTAGACTCTAGAGAAAATCGTTTAACGAAAAAATAATCGAATCCCGAACCGAGAAGGCAGATCAGATCATCTACCTTCCAGCAATTTCTTGGAAAGTACTGGTGATGATGAAATCCGTATGGTTCATAGCTATGAGATCAGCTGTAAATTGACAGGAGAAATGATATTTATCTTCAAGCTTCTTCCAGTAGATATCGGAATCCGGATACTTGGTCTTCTCCAAAGCATGGGCAATCGTACACTAATAAAATGAAAAATCGAGTCGATAGGCCAACGTACAATCGAACATTAACACAAAAGGATCCTGGTGAATTAGTTTCTAACAAACCTGTGTAACTCCCAACTTATGTGCCAGCAAGGAGGCAACTATGTTACCATCACTGTAGTTTCCGATGATCAAATCGGGCTTGCCTTGCAACTCTTTCGAGATCTCATGAGCAACATCCTTGAAACAAACGAGATTTTCTAGTAAGTAATATCCATGAAACGGTATAACTAATGCAAGAAAATCAATGGTTCATATAGCTCACCTCGGTGAATGTTTCCAAGTAGGGCCAGACTTCGAATCTAGAGATCCATCTACGTACGATACCCTTCTCGGTTCTGAAGGGTACCCGAAGAATATCAGAGTACTCCGTTCCATATACTTTCTCGAGTCGTTGGCCACAAGTTGTTCCCACAGCATCAGGGAGAAGTCTAGTAATCTAGGAATAAAGCAAAATAGAAATATTATAAGCATGAGAAACAGCTGAAATAATATATTTCGGAGAAACCGAAAGAAAAGATCATAAAAACTATGAATCAAGAGCTCTCACAATGAGGATACGAGGCGTAATGTTGAGTCCTTGCTGCTTGATACGGTGGATCATCTCGTTCTCGAGGGCACGGACTTGATCCAAAATGTAAACAACCTACATGAAGATTTTAGATATTATACACAAATTGCAACATCCAAGTCTGGCTCTTTATGAACAATGCTCGTAAACGCACTAACCTGGCCACCGGTGTCGGGATACCCCAAAACGTTGTCCTGAGCAAAGTATCCGTGTGGAGTTAGAATCACGACATTGAACACCATGGGGATTCTCCCAAGGAACTTCTCCAGGGTGCAAGGATCGGGTGCCTCGAGAAGATCCAAAAGGAGTTGGATCATCTCGAGCACACGCTCGGCCGTATCACCCCAACCTCTCTCCAAACCGATCTCCAGGAATTTGTGTTCGAATTCAGCATATGGCGTTTCAGCAGGCAGTGTAACGAGGTACTCCTCCGCCTTCCTCAGGACATGTTGGAGAGAATTCAGGTTTTGAATTCTGTCATTCAACATCATGTTCTGCAAACACCAAACCAAATTCAAATCTACGGATTAACATGCCAAAGTGCAATCTTAGGTACACGAACACGATAAATCGAGCAAATACAAGCAGCAAATATGTTGTCAAGGTCAAGTACCTTGCCCTTATGGCAGTGGACTTTTAGGAATTCAAGCAAGGGGTGCATGCTCTCCTTGTCATGAAACAGTTTCGCCGAGAGGTGACGGTTAAGGAACTCGACACCGTTACCGATCGACTTCGAAAGAGTCGGGCGAGGGAACGAGGCATTGAAGGGCTCAAAATCCAATTCCAAAGTGAAGTTTGCACTTGAACTGAAAAGAAACAACCTTAATGAACAGATCAAACAAAACTCAACCAAAACATTAACGTTTTCATTCAGATCATTTTACCTTCCATCAACAAGCTCTTCCTTGAAACGAAGATACTCAGCAGCAGTGAGTTCTTCAACAACAAGCGCGTGGACATTCACTCTAATGTACTCCCAGACACCAGGCCTCGGTCGAACGGCCAGCGCCACCCACGGCGGCAGCACAATCGCCTCCTATGGAACACACGAAAAACAACACCAAATATCAAGATTTGGCAATTAAAAAAATCCAAAACAGGTAAAGAAAATCTGAGTTTTTTCCAATTTACTTGACTAGCTCTCAATATTTCAGAAAATGCACCATCAGCTAACGTTTTCCTGATCTCTTCAGGGATAGCTTCAAATTCAAAAATGATCTGATGGTGTTGAAGAATTCCCTTTCCTTTACCTTCGATCCTGGATAAAACAACAAAGTTCAGAGCTAGCAAGCAAGTTTTGTCAAATTAAAAAAAAATCTTTTTAAGTGTGTTGTCCAAGTTACCTTGCGAGCAGGGCCAGAATCTCGTTCCTGTGGGCAGCAAGTGTGGAATCCAAACGCTCACGGAGGCTGTGTACGCGAGTGAGAGCACGCTCCGCCATTTCTTCGAACTGAACGAAAGCAAAAAGCAAAACAGAGTATTTTTTTAGTGTAAAAATAATGCAAGAGAGACTATGTTATAAAAATATATATAAATGGAGATGGATAAACATGAAAGAATATATATATATATATAAAACAACATAAATTATACTGTTTTCTAGATGGGTAGAAAATTCCAAACCTACCACCAACCACCAACCACATGGAGAAGTCTAACGTTAATTCAATGTTTTTATTTCTCAACTGAGATTTTGCAACACCAACATGATGATGTCCACTTTGGGCGTCTTCTTTTCTTTTTCATTTCATTTAATACACGAATATAAAATTCCTTTAAAATACCAGTTTGAGATGATATGGCACTGTTCTTTTTCCTAGAAATTTTGTTGACCAGAAAGTTTCACAATAGCAGATCAAACATTGACCATGAACTTCCTAGCTGATCATCTAACATGGTTTTTCAAAGTAACAAAAAAAATCAACATTTTGTTCAACTTTGGATAAAAACAAGAGAAAAATGCAGTGCAAATTACATTACCTTGAACTTTCGAGAAGCAGAACCAAGGAAGAAGAAGAAGATTACTAATGAGAATAGTAATACAAGGAACCAGAAAATTCAATGAACGAAAATAATAATAATGATCAAAGGATGTAATGAAATGGGATGGAAGAAGAAGGGAGCTAGTGGCCCTTTTATACACAAATGGAAGGCTCTCTGCGCCTAACTTTCCCATGGTTTTGTTTTTACTTGCGTAAAACCGCTTTTCCTTTCTCCTTTCGATACCAGACAAATAGTGTAAGCTTCAATATTTGATTAACTACGTACGTAGTTGATACATATTAAATATATGGTTATTCATATTATATAGTTGTATATATTTATGATTTTTTTAGTTATTAATCACGTATACATGCATAAATTAAATTACTTAAGATTTTATGTTAGAGGACGAACTTAAACTTATAAAATTTTAAGGTGACGAAAACATATTTTCAATTGGAAACATATAGAAATTTTTTAATATATATAACAATTTTAAAATTTTAGGGGTCGATTGCTCCCACCCACCCCTGCCTAGGTCCATCCCTAGTTAAAGGAATGTTTTCTATTCCTAAAAGTCTTAAGTTCGATCATTAACGATTACATGATTGAGCATTTATTTTTCAAATGATTAAGATTATTATTTAGAATATAAAATTATTTTATAATCGTCTTAATTTAAAAGAAAATAACATATACATATCCTCTAAACACAATTACTCGAATTTAATGCTTAAAAAATAATTTGTTTTATCATCGAGATCACTCGATAAATTCATAATTAGGTTAAAATTTTAAAACAGTTATATAAATTCTGATTTAAGTATTACAAAATTTATACTCTATTTTAAAGAGGTTACAATTAAATTGGCTGAAACAGAAAGTGGGTCCCCAGAGTTTAAAAGTGAGAAAAGCGAGCAGTAGAATTAGATTGGCTGAATCATCCATGCGTGACGTGGCTTTAGAGGACCGACAAAACTTGTACGATTGTGTACGAGAAAATTTAGAATAAACTTCGCATTTAGTGTTTCATTCAATTTAGTACTTAAACTTTCATTTTTTAAAAACCATACGTAGGTTAGTTTTTGTTTATTTTTTAAAAGTTTTGACGTGTTTAATACCTAAATGATCAATTTTATTCCGTTTTAGTACTTAAATTTTTAATTTTTTCAAACTTAATGATAAATTTTGAATAAAGGTAATAAAATGAAATAAAAAACTAAATTTTAGGTATAATTTTAAAAAAATTAAAATTTTAAATATTAAAATATACTAAAACTGATAATTTAGGTACTAAACGTATAATTTATCGGAAATTTTATATACTTTTCCTTACAGGAAAACTAATTGTAAATATATTCAATATATATAATTTTATCATAATATCAAAAAGGTAACTTTTGTTTCTGTAGTATACTCAATTTATCAATTTCTCCCTTATTGTGTTTTTTGTATCAATTTAGCCCCTGAAGTTGCTCAGTTACATCATTCTACACCCTACCCTAACTTAAAATCTTAATTTATGAATCCTAAACCCTAAATCACACCTTCATAACCTTTAAACCATAAATCCTAAACCATAAACTATAATTTAGGGCTTATAATTTAGGGCTTTAAGTCAATAGAAAGATATAAAACGATGCAATTAAGCAACTTCTAAGGCTAAATTGATGCGAAAACACAATAGAGGCGAAAGTGATAAATCGAATCTACTACAATGACAAATATGACCCTTAAGCCTTAAATAATTTACAAAAAAAATTCAAAAAATATGTTACATTTAATACATTAATTTAATCTCAAATTGATTTTTCTAATCTTGGAACTTCTAGAGGAAAGAGAATAGCTTGTGGAAAATAAAACCCATTGGCTAGGCGTTGTGGTATTGGAGTCACTAAAGTTATTTTGATTTCCATTTTCAAAATCCTTCACATGGCTTGTGAGTTGTGTGTGTGTGAAGGCATAGGTTTCAAAAATATACTTTTAACATTATTTTATATAAATTCTTTATCATTCAATTAATAATTACTTCTAGATAAGTAAATTTTAATATATACATATATACAATATTTTATTAAACCAAATTTAACTAATTAATTATCATTAATTGGATTAAAAAACAAATTTAAAATGGGAGGTAACATGTTGAATGGTTTGGTGTGGGGGATGATGGATTAATTATCATTAATCGGATTAAAAACAATTTTAAAATAAGAGATAAAATAATTATTTGTAAAACGTTGGGGGTAATTTTGTTATTGTACCTTAAATTAATAACAAAAAAAATGTAATCGAACATAATATTAAATTATTATTTTTTAATAATAAAATAAATTTAAATCATCCACTTTTTTCAATTCAATTAATTTTTAACAGATAAAGACATAATAAAAGATTGAAATAAAGGATGGTGTCTTGTCTTTTTGTTATCTTCCAGGTTAAATGATTTCATTATGAGAAATTTAAATCAATTCGGGTTGTACATATGATTTTAGTGGGTTATTTCAAAGGCAGAGTTATATTGGGGTTAAAAGGGTCTCCGATCCCTTTCAAAATTTTATATATTTGAAAATTTTGGTCTAATATTATTTTAGTTCATATAAAAATAAGTACTCCAATTAAAAATACAAAAAAATATTAATTATTTAATTATGGACCGAACCAAAGAAAGATAATATATTTTTTCATTTTTTTTGTCTAATAACAATTTATGTCATTATAAGTTTAAATATTATATTCTGAATTTTGAGTTTAAAACTATTACTATGTGTTTTTAAAAAAAACCTAATATTTTAGTCTGTCAATAGTCACTCCTAACTCCGTCTCTAAGTTACTCTCTCAATATATATATATTTTTTGCAAATAAAGAATCAAACTTGAGACCTATTTAAACATATATTAAGTTGTTTATCATTAGAACCATCCGTTAATTGATGTTTCATACAGAGACGAATTTATGACAAAAATTTAGGGTTACAAGAACTTCAAGTGTGACACTTTTAAGGGTGACATTTGTATTAATTAAAAAAGTATTTAAAAAAATAACATTAAATAGATAATTTTGAGGGTTACCCGGACACTATAGAGGTCCGCCATGGTTTCAATTTTTGATACGCCGCACTTGATAAGTCGTTGGATTTCATGTGACTATCCTTGAGTTTCACGATGATTTTGATTGACATTGACTCTTTTATCCGCATGTCTTCCAGAGGGTCTATACGACAACGTCTTATCTAATGCCCTTTTGTCATGGAACTTCTTCCGTTCAAATATAAAGCCACATTTTGCATGTGGTTTGGTGATAATTATTAATTAGTGAACGGTCGAGGTATTGACATGTAAATTTGGGTTAAGATTTGATGATTATTTTATTAGAGTTATTGATATCGTTAGGATTAAATAATAGAATAATAACTAAAATCAAACATCGATTGTGCTGCGAACGAACTATCGTCGTAAATCTAAATTCGTCTTAATTAATTAAAATTAAATATTAATATTATTTAATCCCGTCAACTTAAAATCGAATTATGTTAATATTCTAATTAAACAAACTCTTTCCATCGTTAAAAATAAATGGATAACAATTTCGTTTATTTACAACGGTGGACAATTCATAATTGCTGGAGGTCTTCCACGGAAGTTGCTCTCAACCTAGCGTTGAGAGCAACCTACTACCCTACCTTCCCCTTACCCCATTACATATGGGAATAGGGTCAGCTAATTTTTTTTATATTTACAATAAATGTTAATTTAAAACTTTTAAAAAATATACATATATTTCTAATAAGAATTATTAATATTAACGATTATAATAAAAAAAATAAGGGTAAGCTACATATTTAGTACTTAAACTATCGGTTTTATGTTTTAACACTTATTTTTTTTCAAAATCATACATAATATTTATTTTTTATTTCATTTTAGTACCACATAATTAAAAATGGAACGCGTTTAATACTTAAACTATCTATTTTTGTCCGTTTTAGTACTTAAACTTTCAATTTTTTTAAAACTCAACGTTAAATTTTGAACAGGGTATTAAAATGAAACAATAACTAAACTTTAGGTATGGTTTTAAAAAATTTAAAAGTTTAAAGATTAAAACAGATCAAAACTTATACGCAATTTACCTTAAAAATAAATTAAAAATTTAATTGAACCCAAAAGATCCAATGAGAGTCGAGGCCTCAAATCAAATTAACAAATTGGGCCTCACCATTTTTCATCAATAGGTCAATCTGAAGTGGGCTCCACCAGCGGTCCCAAAACGGTTCGGCAAAAACGGACCCCACAAATTTCAAATTTTTTACTGCTCCCTGCTGGTGCGCGCACCGAAGTACCTAACGGGGAAAAAAATTAAAATCAGAATAAAACAAAATAATTAAAGCACCGTTACATTTCGTTCTTCTTCATCCTTTTAACAAACAAATCCAGAAAGCCATTATTATTTCATAAAAAAAGAACATTCAAATCACTTAGGAAACCCTAAAAGGAGCATTTGATTTTGAAATCCGACGATACGTTGCGTGTGTTTATCTGCATTTTGTTGAAATATTGACTTGCTCCAGGCGATTTGTCAAGGACCGGAATTTAGTAAGTTTTTGGATTTCACTGTAAGTGTTTCTATTTTTAATTTTTTTGTCTTGAAAATAATTCAGTTTCTCTTTTTTTAGTTGGATCGATTTGAGAATGTTAGATTTAAGTTGAAATTAGAAAAAGTGGAAATCATATAAAATTCTTACCTTATATGTAAGTTTGATCTCACTGTTATTTAATGTTTGATCTATTTTTTTTCTTGATGAATTTCGGATAGAATCTTGGAGTTCTTTAAGCCGATTCCCATTTTTTTGAGAGCATTTCTTTATGCACTCTTAGCAGTGAGATTAGTTTCGAAGATGGTCGGGACACCAGCCACGCCGTTGTGCAAGATACAAAGGACTCCGGCGACCACCCCTGGAGGAGGAACCAAGGTTCGGGAGGAGAAGATTTTGGTGACTGTTCGGATGCGACCGTTGAATCAGAGAGAACAAGCAATGTATGATCTTATTGCTTGGGATTGCGTGGATGACCATACCATCGTTTTCAAGAATCTCAACCACGAACGCGCAGCTAATCAGTACAGCTTTGGTATCTTTTTTCACACATTATTGTTAAATTTGATGGGTTGCTTAGAAAGAGGGAACAGTTCTTTCATCAACGTGTTTCTAATTTTGGATAAATTAACTTAAATGTGGCAGATAGAGTTTTTGATCCATCGAGCTCTACTCGAAAGGTTTACGAAGATGGGGCTAAGGATGTGGCCTTATCTGCTCTTACAGGAATAAATGGTTAGATTTAGTTTTGTACTATTTTCCTCTGTCACATTAGAAGCAAGCAGCCTTGAAAATGGGGTTTAACAAAATTTCTTTATTGTACAGCAACAATTTTTGCGTATGGGCAGACAAGTAGTGGGAAGACATTTACAATGAGAGGAATAACTGAAAATGCAGTGAAGGATATCTATGAACACATAAAAAATGTAAATTACAATTTGATAAGTAAATTGCTATATTTGGATTTGATCTCGACGTGCTTTTGTTAATTTTAATCTTACAGACTCAGGAGAGAGACTTTGTCTTGAAACTCTCTGCATTGGAGATTTACAACGAGACAGTTGTAGACCTTTTGAATCGTGATTCTGGCTGCTTAAGACTTTTGGATGATCCTGAGGTACATTTAAATGAATCATTTTTTTTATATTTCAAAGCTTTTCCTTCTTTTGAAACTTTTTTTTTTCGTGCGCAAAATATAGCGAGGTACCATTGTGGAAAAACTTGTTGAAGAAGTGGTCAAGGACAGCCAACATCTGAGACACTTAATTGGCATTTGTGAAGGTAATTTCATAATTATGAGATGTAATTAATTGTTTATCTTGTTGATTAAAATGGCATACGCTTCTTTAATCATGAACATTTTATACATAATTCTGCAGAACAAAGGCAAGTGGGAGAAACAGCTTTGAATGATAAAAGCTCAAGGTCACATCAGATTATCAGGCTGGTAAGATAGAAGTGTTTATATTTTTTCGTTCATTTCAAGCATTTATTAGTTTTTACACTTATTTTGATAGTATGTATATGTATATTAAAAATCGATTTGGTTTAAATAATTCTAGTTTTTTAATATAGTGACGGATCAGAATTTTATGTCGGAGGATTAACTCATAAAATTTTTAAAAGATATAAATCAAGGGGCAAAAACAAATTTTTAATAGAAAATAGAAAGAAATGTCTAAAATTTATATGAATTTGAAATTTCCGAGGATTGTTCCCACACGTCCCCTCAGTCAATCCCTGATTAATCAAACCGAAAATCAATTTCAGTTTTCTTGATTTATCTTGTTCAGCCCTACTAGAAGTTGGTTATATAGATACAAAGTTGATCTCTTAGACTTTTCATGTAATCAACAAAAGTGCCTCTCTCTCACCCCTGTAGACATGTACATTTTCAGGTGGTTTTACTTCAAAGTCACTACTATCAGCCCTTTTTGTTCATGTTCTGTGCATGAGAATTATATTCCGTGAGTAAAGTGAAATCTTACACTGCCTGGTTCACCACTCTTTGCAGACAATTGAAAGTAGTCTTCGGGAAAATGCAGAATGTGTGAAGTCTTTCTTATCAAGTTTGGTATGTTTAATAATCTTTTGTTGTTCGGTTTTACATTCTTCAACATAAATTAACAAAAAGTAAAATATTGCAGAATCTTGTAGACCTCGCAGGAAGTGAACGTGTCTCTCAGACAAATGCTGATGGTGTAAGATTAAAGGAAGGTAGCCACATCAATCGAAGCTTGTTGACGCTCACAACAGTGATTAGAAAGTTAAGGTAAGCTAAACCCATATCGGGCTATATGGGGAAATGATCTTTAAAGAAACTTTTTTTTTCCTGAAAAATGAACATACTTGGTTTGTTTTGTATGCAGTGGTGGAAAAAGAAGTGGTCACATTCCATATAGGGATTCAAAACTTACACGAATACTGCAAAACTCACTAGGGGGGAATGCTCGAACAGCTATCATATGTACCATAAGCCCAGCTCTTAGTCATGTGGATCAAACTAGGAATACTCTGGCTTTTGCAACTAGCGCGAAGGAAGTTATCAACAATGCCCATGTAAACATGGTAAGATAAGTGTTCGTGTATATATAGTATTTTCCAAATTCTTTATGTTGTAATGTTGGACTGTTTTTGAAGTTAATTTTTTGTTGGCACTACTTCCATACGTGGAGATCTCTACTACTAACAGAGAAAGCTGTAGAATATAAGAAAACATAAGTAGATATCTACTCCAATGATGAAAAAATGGGACCGAACTAATTGATTGATCCAATTCAACATGTATTCAAAGGTCTGTTCGGTCTGAGAACTGGTAATAGAGAGCCATACCAGTTTGACCCTCGGTCCTATTAACAGCTAGCACTTTGCTGTAGGTTTCCTGACTTCTGAAAAGATTTAAAAGTGTTGCATATTTAGAGCATGCTTATAAACAAAAAGGGTAGAGATACATGTATATTCTCTGTACCAAATAAATAAGTATAATACATTCTTCAAAGCAAATTCTGCTCTTCATTGCTAATGCCACATTATTATTCTTTCTGGGCTTTCTTTGCAGATTGTTTCAGGCAAAAGGTTGGTAAAACATTTGCAGAAAGAAGTGGCAAGGCTTGAAGCTAAGCTACGAACTCCAGAGTCTACTTCTGCTTCATGCCTACATTCTTTGCTGATGGAAAAGGAATTGAAAATCCAAGAGGTATATAGTACGTTGCTCACACTCTTCATTTTCTTTAAAGCATCCGTGTTCAATATCATATTTGACACATGTAAACAGGGGTCAGAAAATATGATTCTTCAAATGTAAGGAGAACTTTAAAAGATTGGGTATACTCGTATACATTCAACATTCACCCCAAACTCGAGTAACATAGGGTATAGATGATGTTTTATACAGAAGTATATTAGAGTTGTTTGTACAGGGATTATTCTAGTCCTCATAATTTAGCTGTTAAAAAAGAACTCTTAACTTGCAGATGGAGAGGGAAATGGAAGAGTTGAAGCGCCAGAGAGACATTGCACATTCCCAGCTAGAACAAGAAAGAAAAGCACGCAAAGTACAAAAGGTAAAATTTTGGCCAACTATTGTATCATAAGTAATTCGGACTATTTAGTAAGTACTCATCCCGTATCTGACACTTGTCACCAGTTCCATCATCTTGTAACTCTCGAGCTTGTAACATTTCCAGGGATCGAAACAATGTGGACCTTCTGGCAAAGGAGTCAGATGTCTCACTTTTGATAATGAGCCAGTTCCAGACTCCTCGGATGCTCAGCCTAGGAAAACAGTTGGAAGATATTCGACACTAAGGCAGTCAGCCACAATGACAGATCCATCCATGCTTGTGCATGAGATCCGGAAACTCGAGCAGCGACAAAGACAGCTCGGTGAGGAAGCAAACCGGGCACTTGAAGTACTGCATAAGGAAGTTTCTTCCCACAGACTAGGGAATAAAGAGGCTGCTGAAGCAATAGCAAAGATGCTGTCCGAGATCAAGGATATGCAGGCAATTAGCTCTATTCCTGAAGATATTATGATAGGGCATGGGACTGACTTGAAACAAGAGATCACTCGGTTGAACTCTCAAGGCTGCACTATCGAATCGTTAGAGAAGAAGCTTGAGAATGTTCAGAAATCGATAGACTTGCTGGTTTCATCGATTTCAAATGGAGAAGAGACACCAGACTTTAAGACCCAGGTGAAGAAGAAGAAAATCCTCGCTTTCCCTTTGAAGAACAGAGTGAACATGCAAAACTTAATACGGGCTCCATGCTCACCGTTGTCCTCTTCTCAGAGCATAACGGAACAAGAGATCGAGAACAAGCCGCCCCCTGAGGATAATGAAACAGTCTCCTCTAGCAGCCATAGATCACCTGGCTTGTTTAAAACTCCTCGGAAGGCTGATGATAGACAAGTCTCATCAAGAGAGGGAACTCCATCTACAAGGCAAACCAACTCGGTTGATGTGAAGAAAATGCAAAGGATGTTCAAGGATGCAACGGAGGAGAACATACGCAGCATCAGAGCTTATGTCACTGAGCTGAAAGAACGAGTTGCTAAGCTACAATATCAGAAGCAGCTTCTGGTTTGCCAAGTGAGAACTCTTGACGTTTTTTATGTCGAGCATTAGTTAACGTCTCAATATTGCTATTTCGTTCTAAAAACTTGTCTGAAACTCCGTCATTGCTTAGGTGCTGGAGCTGGAAGAAGCAAAGGAGGCTGGAAACGATGAGGAGGATAGTTGTGTGCAGTCTCCAATGCCATGTCACGTGGTGTTTGAGGATCAAAGGAAGCAGATTATCATGTTATGGCACCTCTGCCATGTTTCAATTATACATCGTACACAGTTTTATTTGTTGTTCAGGGGAGACCCGGCTGATCAGATATATATGGAAGTAGAGCTTAGAAGGTTGACGTGGTTGGAGCAGCAGTTTGCAGAGCTTGGAAATGCAAGCCCGGCTCTTTTAGGCGATGAACCTGCAAGTTTAGTTGCATCAAGGTCAGTTAACTTATGTACCCTCGGATATGATTATAGAGATTGTCATCTAAAATACCCCATGGAACTGTACCCTTTTCTAACACACCCTAATCCACGTAACGTAAAACATTCCTCGATTCCATAACTAGACACAAACTCACATCCGACACTTGCACTCGAATATGATTATTATAGAGATATTTTCATCTAAGGATCCTATTAAGCATACAAATCAGACACATTCTAATCCTTGAAACATTATCGAAAATACGCATCGGACCCGTACCCTTTTCTAACCCCTCCCCCCCAACACACACAAAATCCAAATAATGTAGGATCGAGATAACAATCCTCGTGTCCGATTGTTGCTTGTATGGAAACCTATTCATCCATATTCGACACTCATATTTAGGTACATACTCGCATCCGAATATGATTATAGAGATATTTTCATCTAAGGATCCTATTAAACATACACATTATAATTCTTGTAACATAGAATCGAAAATACCCATCCGACTCGTACCCTTTTCTAACACACACCCTAATTCATGTTCGGCCCTCATGTTTAGACACGCTCGTACTTAAATTTAGAGATAATATTATTTTGTGGTGTTAAAATTTGCAGTATCAAAGCACTGAAGGAAGAAAGGGAGTATCTAGCAAAGAGGGTGAGCTCGAAGCTGACGGTAGAAGAAAGGGACTTGCTGTACTTGAAATGGGAGGTTCCGGCGGTGGGCAAACAGAGGAGATTGCAATTGGTAAACAAATTATGGACCGACCCATTGAACATGCAACAAGTGGAGGAGAGTGCCGAATTGGTTGCCAAACTTGTTGGATTTTGTGAGTCGGGTGAACATCTCAGCAAAGAGATGTTTGAACTCAATTTTGTTGACCCTTCTGATAAGAAGTCATGGATGGGGTGGAATTTGATTTCAAATCTATTCCATTTGTAAAAAGAAAACAAATTAACACAACAGGTCTTTACAACAGTTGATTCATTGTTATATTAATTAAAATATGACATTTTTGTGTCTGTAAATTTTACCGTCAAAACATTATGCTAAATGAGTTTAAACACTGACAATTTTGCAAGCTGAGTGGACTCCCGATGTTTTTGCGGTTCAAATATGCATCCATATATACATTGCTATAATATCGTTGAAGGGTTCCTGGGACTGGGTTGCTGCTCTCCACTGACCCCGTCTCTGGAGAATATCTGCACAGATATAAAAGAACAGAAAGTACTGAGGATTGTGTTGGAACTAAACTCTAACACCAGAATGAATGTCCTAACTATCAAAGCAATTGCTGTGCTCCTCCCATCACCCATTGACCACCACTGCTTAAGGACAGATATAACCACCACATAAAATTCTCAAAGGCTATTTGATTTTCTTTTATACTTTTTGTAGTTTCAAATTAAGTGATGTTACATTATGCCTACAGCAACTTTTCGCCGTCAAAACAAAAGGAGAACAAGCATGGAGAAAAAAAAAATGCACATGAGATCAGATTAACAGGTTGAAAGTTGGGAGCTTTGGACTCTAGCAAAAGGGGAAATCTTATTTCTATTAAAGTTCTTCGATAATGCGGTTCCTTGAAAAAACAAAATTACTTCATTGAAGTAAATTCCAAATTCACCATTAATTAATATCAATTATTAAACATAATATTTGACATTTCCATCTTCAACAAACAAACAAAAATAGAAAGAAAGAAAAATGCAAACAGAAGATAAGCTAAAGAAGCCCATTCCATTCCAAGTCTGTAAGCTGCATATGGTCACAAGTAGCATCGCAAGTTGGAATTACCTTATTGTGGGCTGCAGAACCACCATATTGGTGTGCAAGTGTGTCGCCCATTCTCTCATAAAAACTCATTAATTCATCTGCCAAAGGGTCATCAAGGTCTATCTTCGGGGTATCTGTAATCCCTAAAGTATGAAGCCGGTATCCAAGAGCAACCAATCCATACGCATACTGTGCAACATTAGTGCGATCCAGACAGTCTATACAATTGGTCCTAAGCACCTCTTTGGATTGATCCTAAAGAAAGGTAATTACAACCATATTTCCGAACATTTATTGTACAAAACTGGAAGTTACTGAAAATGAAAAGCTTACTCAGAGGAAGGCCAAGCCATAGACTCGTCAGGTCTCAAGGTTAACGTCACCCGACAATAAAAGAAACCTGTTAGTGTTGATGCATATGCAGCCACTTTGCCTAAAAATAGCAAAACATTTGCCGATTGGCTGCAAGGAACAAAAATATAAGTTTTTCTGCTTGTTGGAAAAACTCCCAAGTATAACTGAGAAAAGGAAAAGTACGTGTGAGTTCACAGCAAAGGATTAGGACATATACCTCTGAAAATGTTTACGTATATCCCAATGAAGGAACCTCAAACAAGTCTCTTCCGACAAATCTTTATTGATAAAATCAATCACATGTGCAAACTCTTGACGAAGAATTGACTCTCGAGGCTTCTTTTCTTGTGTCTGCTCATCACACAAGCATATACAGAACTTATTATCAAATCATTCAAACTCAAACCGTAGCTACGTCAATATGCTCCCACACCCAGGTACTAAAACGGACTAAAACTGATAGGTTAGGTACTAAATGCGTAATTTACTCTATATTTTCTGGATCGATTTACTTTTGGGCTTCTATGTTTGTTCTCGACTTTGCCCAAACGTATATAGACAGGGCTCATTGGCCGAAGGTTCTTTCTTTCAACTTCGATCCAAACCCATTACATGACCCAGAAAATAAATGGCGCAAACCAGAAGCTGTTTTCTCTCTCGCGTTCCCAACGCCATCGGCGGGTAATTAACATTTGCGTCTTCAAAGGCTATCTGCTTGACTGCTTCACCACACCACACCACACCACACCGGCTTTAGAATACGGCGTTGTTTAACGAGCAAGTTAGTTAAGGTTTGTCTGGTTATCGGAAACAGACTTCAGAGACTGAAAATGGCAACAAATCCAGCAACGAAACCTTCGAATCTTCCTAAATCCGGAGCCATCTCCAAAGGCTACAATTTTGCGTCTACTTGGGAGCAGGTGTTTTTCTTTCTTTCTTTTCGAACACACAAATATTTGCCTTCAAAGTCACGATTTGATCCTCCTATAGTTTAGATCTGTTATAATTGTGATATCAGCGAACTTAGGAAGTTTCAATTTATAACCATTTAATTGAGGAACACTTTTTTATTTTGATATCTTTCTATCTATTGATTCTTAAATTTAGTACTAAGAAGATCCGATCTTTGCACTCGAACCATAAATCTGAAGAGTTGTAAAACGTTTTAGTTTTTAGTTTAAAGATTGGATCTGTGGAGTGGAATCAGAAGCTCTAATTTGGATTATTTATGTATAATTTAATTTATTTTGGGGAATTTTCTGCAATAGAACGCTCCTTTGACGGAGCAGCAGCAAGGAGCAATACTGATGCTATCTCATGCAGTTGCTGAACGGCCGTTTCCGGCCAATTTGGTGAGGAATTCTGTTTCTGTTAGCAATCCTCCCTCTCTCTCTCTCTCTGTGTGACTGTGTGTGTGTGTGTATTGCATTCTGAATGTTTTGGTGAAAGATGTTTGAATTATGTTGGTGTTTAGGCTCAAGAGCGAACCTCAGGGCAAGATAAAGGCTTGTCTGTTTCTACAGACAATAACAGTTTCAGAGATTCTGAAGCTATTGATGCAATTTTGGTTAATACAAATCAGGTAAATTAGTTTTATTGCATTTCTAGAGTGAAATGGAGATGAGGAGATTTGAACTTTTGTGGACGGGTACTTTGTTTTATTCTTTGAATGGTCTAGTGCTATTATAGTTTTATGACATTGATGAAATTTGGATCTAAAACATTTGATTCTTTTTTCTTGTTTCCACTCTTTTCGGTACAGTTTTATAAATGGTTCACGGATCTTGAATCGGCCATGAGGTCTGAGGTTAGTAGCAATTTCTTATTGGAACTTATAGACTTGAAGTAATTTTATTGGATATTTGTTTATTGCTTCTCGTTGTTTCTCTTCCTTCAGACGGAGGAGAAGTATCAACATTTTGTTGACACTCTGGTAAATCAGATACGGACTTGTGATGATATACTTCAACAAGTATGTTCTTCTTGTTTACATCTTCATTCATTCTTGTTTCCTTTGCTAGCTATTTTATCAGGTTATATCAATATTTTTTGCAAGATTTTAAAGCTTGCAAGTGTTTCTGCGCAGGTGGATGAGACCTTGGACCTATTTAATGAACTACAACTGCAACACCAAGCTGTAGAAACAAAAACAAAAACTCTTCATGATGCATGTGATCTATTGGTATGGTTTTCATTTGGGTGACTTGGGATTTAAATTCATCTTCTTCTTTCCAACTTTTTGACTTCGACTCTATGTTTAATGGCTATAATCCACTTACTTTTTAGGTGGATAATTTGTTTTAAGGTTGATTGATTGCCTTATTAGCATGTTCTAATTTACAGGTAATGGAGAAGCAAAGGCTGATTGAGTTTGCTGAAGCACTTCGCAGTAAGCTCAAGTATTTTGATGAGTTGGAGAATGTAAGGTTTGAATGCTATCTTAACTAGAGATCAGTTTATGTGTTACTTCCTTGTCTTTGCTTTTTATCCTATTATCCTTTGGGATTTATGCTCCAGTTTAAGTGTCTTGATGAATTGCTGTTGGTGCAGTACTTCTGAAATACATGATTTGTCTAATTTTACCTTTTCTGTACAGATTACTTCCAACTTTTACTCTCCAAACATGAATGTTGGAAACGCGAACTTTCTCCCACTTCTTAAACGGCTTGATGAGTGCATATTGTAAGTTTGCATTTAAACCTAGTCCAACTGTGCCAATTGTTTAACATTTGTGTAATAACTGTCCTTATGAGCCCATGTAATCAAAATTTAATATCATGTTTTGTCCTTATAGGTATGTCGAAAATAATCCACAATATGCAGAATCCAGTGTTTATTTGCTAAAATTCCGTCAACTCCAGGTAAGGAAGAAATGATAACAATCTACGGATTTTTTTGTCAAGTGAATGAAATGCATGCATATTATTAGATGTTTTGACATAGAACTCCTGGAACCACTTTTTTTTTTACAGTCTCGGGCTCTTGGTATGATCCGCTCTCATGTACTTTCTGTTCTCAAAACTGCATCTTCCCAGGTAACATATCTACCTCTAGATGGAATTTTTATTCATTGGCATGTAGTTATGGATTGATTAAATGCCTCCTAAAATGCTTGTTCTTTTTCTCCTTAGGTCCAGGGAGCAATTCGGAGCAGTGGTAGCAACAAAGCATCTCTTTCTGAGGGTGTTGAGGCATCCATAGTTTATGTTCGTTTCAAAGCAGCTGCTAGTGAGGTAATGATTTCCTTTTTTGGTTTTGAAGCTGTCTCATTTTTATCAAAAATCTGAATGTTTTCCCTGTTTATTGGCAAGTAGAGTAATATCTTTTGCATACAAATGGGATCATATACTACAATTAGATCCCCCCCAGTAGAGGTAACTAACAGTTTTAAGCATTTGCAGCTTAAACCGATATTTGAGGAAATTGAAAACAGAGCACCAAGGAAAGAATATACCCATCTACTTGCAGAATGCCATAAATTGTACTGTGAACAGAGGCTTTCTTTGGTGAGTGAATGCTGTTTTACACCCACGCATGCATACATTATTTCAATATCCAAATTTGTTTTTAATGTATCTGTAAATAAATGCTTTCTTTTTTAGATAAAAGGTACAGTGCATCAGCGAATATCTGAATTTGCCAAGAAAGAGGGTTTGCCATCGTTGACTAGATCAGGATGTGCTTACTTAATGCAGGTATAGTGTACTTTCTATCCTCATATTTAATTGCTGAATAAGATTATTATTCTTGGAATTTCTGATCAAGGGGAGCTACAGTTACGTGTTATTGAGTTATGCAGTCTTTGTATTGTTGATTCATTTTGGTGACAGTTAGAGAGATAAAATCTAGCTTGACTGTTCGTTTTGTATTTAAACTGGTGTTGTTAAACTGAAGAAACATGTATTGTCTTCATTAACTGCGTCCTGCACATTCCCATAACTGTAGGTCTGTCAGCTTGAGCATCAACTCTTCGATCATTTTTTCCCATCTTCTTCCAAGGATGCTTCAAGTTTGGCTCCATTGATAGATCCTTTGTAAGTGCTCTTGTAGTCTAATGTTAGAGCTTTCTTTTCTCTAGTTGGCTTTAATGATGCTTTATTGAAATTAAACAAAAATAATATCCTGTTTGAGTTTAGATAGTTTGACTGTTTGAGTGTATTACCAAGTTGGACTTTGATGCAGGTCTACATACTTGTATGACATATTGCGGCCAAAACTCATTCATGAAGCAAGTGTTGATTTCCTTTGTGAAATGGTTGATATCCTCAAAGTTGAAGTTTTGGGAGAACAGTTCAGTAGAAGGAGTGAATCATTGGCAGGGTTACGCCCTACATTAGAAAGAATTTTGGCAGACACTCATGAACGCTTGACTTTTCGTGCTCGAACATATATCCGTGATGAGGTTTGCTCTTGCTTGTGTGTGTATGCATCTATATGTCTGTGATCTTCTGTAGTGTTGAAAGCAAAACTTATTTTAGTTGTCCATCTTTTGAGATTTAAAAGTAAATTAGCTTACAGTTGCATTCCATGTTTTCTATGTTGGGAGAAAGTGTATTGTGTTTTTCGATAGGAGTGTGCATTCCTGGGTATGCTACACATTGCAACTTGAACATATTGTTGCTCTGTTATTTTTTATTGTACCTGAATCATTGTCTTCTTTCTTACTCAGATTGCAAATTATATCCCGTCTAGTGAAGACTTGGACTACCCTGCAAAACTGGATCATTTTGCAGATGTGAAGTCAGAAACTGCTGTAAGTTTTCTTAACACTTTTTCACTTCTCCTATAGATGATTATTTGTCATGGATCTTCACATTTGTTAGTCAAAATTGGGAAGTTACTTTCCTGCAAGTCGACATTATTTCTAAATCCAATTCAGATCTCTATGCAATGCTCTTTTTTATCATTATTATAGGACCTAACTTAGTTTCTACAATTTGTGTTCAGTTATCTCCTCCTTTTGTGCTCGAACATAAGTATTGCATTATATGTTTGACTGTTTGTATCCGCTTAGACAATCTCTTGGATTATTCAACAACCTAACAGTTGTACCTGTCCATTGTTCAATTCCTTGAATGAGGAACCATATGCGCTGATTGTGGGTTGTCCTAGTTGGTCGCCAGCAACCTAATTGATGACATGTTGCAGTAATTGCTTAGTGAAAAGTATGTAGTGTCAATTACTGCAGCTTCAACATAACGTAACTTGTGTCTGCTTGGATTATCTTTCTTTTCTCTTTTTGGGAATATAATTGTACCATAGTTAACAACTTAACACTACCATCTGCATTGTTTTTTTCCCTTTTCGTCTGCAGACTGATGCAAACCAAGATGTATTCAAAACTTGGTATCCACCATTGGAGAAAACCATATCTTTTCTCTCAAAATTATATCATTCTATGGAACCGGAAGTGTTCACTGGCTTGGCCCAGGTGCTTTGAGTCTTTGGATAATCACTCTTAGTTTTTATCTACCGAATTTCTAAAAGTATTTCGGTTTGCTTATTCATGTTAAAGGATTAATTTTGTGTTGTTTTTTATCAGGAAGCTGTGGATGTTTGCTCTGTTTCAATCCAAGTAAGTTAGCTGAACAAACAATTTAGTGAAACTGTTTAAGGTCTTAAAGTTCTTTGCTTTTACAAGAAAATTCTTGCTCTATACTTGTACCATTTCTATACGTTGATAGCTTGGTTTTTAATTTTTAACGAAGCAATATTGTCCCATCTATGATGAATTTGATGGGTTATTTGCTCTTTAACATGTTCTCAAACATGCCATGGGCTTGGTTGGATATTTAACCATTTACATTTGTCCCACTTTTGTCTTTCAAATTGTACATAGAAAACAAGCAAACTAATTGCAAAGAGATCCACACCAATGGATGGGCAGCTCTTCCTCATAAAGCATCTTCTGATATTAAGGGAACAGGTTATTTTTTCTACCCATCTTTTTTTTTATAATTAATAGGATATAACCGTAACGAGTTCTGGCCTTGCAGATAGCACCATTTGACATAGAATTCTCAGTTACACACAAGAACTTGATTTCTCTCATTCACTGGTAAGTTTCTCTTAGGCTAAATTTTCTTTCAGTGAGCTTGGTGTTTATAATCTGTGCTAGTTCTTTAGCATTCCTAGGAGGAAGCTTTTTTTTACTTTCAGCATGGTAGTGGGACAAATAAAAAGAAGTATAATACTCCTTTTCTTAAGATTCCTTTGTTGCTTAGGTTTCCAACTTCCAGTTTTTTCCATCTCTGAAAGTTAATACATATTTTACCTTTCTTTTACATGGAATTAAAGCTATAGTTGTCTTCAAATGTCTTTGACAGGAACACCTGAGAAGAATACTTAGAGGTCAGGCCTCATTATTCGACTGGTCTATGTCAACATCATTAGCAAGGAACTTATCTCCCCGTGTTTTGGAAAGTCAAGTAGATGCCAAGAAGGTTAGCATTTTACCTTTTGATAGATCTTTTTACAGTCAATGAGTCGAAGTGCTATGTACCATCTTGAGTGTATGTGTTGCTGGAAATCATCTTCAAAACACATGAATTAGTGAAACAATGGAGAACAAGCTCAGGGGAGGGAGAGAGAGAGAGCTATTTGTGGTAGTTGAGGGATTGAAATAAAAGGGGCATATGGGATTGCTATGAGAGTGCTTGGATCATTGCGGAGGTTCCTGGCTTCCTGCAGTGATAGATCCTCTTAGTAATACTGAGAATCAACCCGTTGCTTTTGCCTGCAAGCAATAGGGATCCTTTTGTAAGGGCTATCATTCTAATAAATGCAGCATCCCACCTTATCCTCTTTTTACCCTATTTTGGAAACATGGCTTGATGCTCTGGGTTCTGCTTTGTCATCAATAGCATAAGACATCTTCTGTGCTCGTTTACTTGCAGAAACTGGAGAAAAGCTTAAAGGCAACTTGTGAGGAGTTTATTATGGCAGTCACTAAGCAAGTAGTGGATCCTATGCTTTCATTTGTTACCAAGGTTTATCTTTTATCTCCTTAATTGGCCTTTTCACAACTTAAAGATACTAATCTCTGAAGAGTAGACATTTCTTGCAAAATAAGACCAGGTCCCTTTTATTGGACCTTTCCAGCTTGGATATGAGTATTTACTTCAATGTGCTATGTGATATTTAACCAAATACGATGTATCCATCTTTGCTGAATCAAAGGATAACTTTGATGGTACTGGTTTCTTTTCAAGTTTGACTCTTGATTAATTGTCTAAGGTTTATATTTGTTCCTACAGGTAACAGCTGTGAAAGTTACATTGTCTTCTGGTACTCAGAATCAAAAAAGAGACTCCGTAATGGCTAAGCCACTCAAGGAACAAGCCTTTGCTACACCAGAGGCAGTGGCTGAACTTGTTCAGAAGGTGCGTCACCTTTTTAGTTCATGTTTGCCGGCATATATATATATATTAAAGAAAGCCACGATAGTAATAACTTCCAATTAAATGAGACATCGACTGTAGGAAGCATGAAGCCACTCCCAGCCTGGACAGGCCCAAGACAGAAAGAGTGATTATCATTTAAGTATAATTCGGAATCAAGTATATATCTGCCCTTAAATGGCATTAATAACATGCCTGTGTATCTTCAGAATACCGTTTTTGTTTCCAGCCCTATGATTTTAAGGAGCATTTCGAGCTTGCAACCTTCTACTGTTTCTTTTCAACCTTCACAACCGTATTAGTTGATGCCGATAATTCTTCTTCTTCATCGAGTTCATTTTTCCCCCCAAACAACTTATTTGTCGTCCTTGTTGACTTGCAAGGCTGATCTTGTCAGATTGATTCATACTGCTGTTGCATGCGTATAAAAATTCTCTATTATTTAGTGCATCAAGATGTACAATTTTCTTAATTAAGTCACGATTACTAGCAATAAAGTTTTGCATAACTTCAAGGTTTAGATTCATCGGATTGATTATTTACATTTCTTATACCAGGTACATTCAGCTATTCAGCAAGAACTTCCACTGGTGGTAGCTAAGATGAAACTCTATTTACAGAACCCATCGACAAGAACAATTCTTTTCAAACCAATCAAGTAAGATGTCTGTCTCAAATTCAAAACAAACTTCATATCTGTTTCCATTGTCCAACACTACTGTTTGATGCATATCAGGACATTCTTCGAGATATATTCCTATTAGGATTTTTCAAATACATGCAAAACTTAGAAAAATGAACATACCTGTGTTGGATATGCAGCTATATCCAACATTCGCATCCAAGCCCGAGTAAGATAGTCGAAGACTACGAATGACCTAATCAAGCAGCACCTTGTTTTATAACGTTAGGTTTTTTTTAAACTGCCAGAGCATAGTAGACAATCGTACAACGAAGTAAGGCGACTGTTATATTAATGCAGGACAAATATTGTGGAAGCCCATATCCAAATTCAATCCCTTTTAAAAGCAGAGTATTCTCCGGAAGAAAAGCGTACCATCAACATGATCGCAATAGAAGAACTGGAATCACAGCTGGACAACCTCCTGTAAGGATTCGAGCTAGCGAAAGGTCAATCAAATTATATCGACTCTACTCAAATTTCTTCAGTAATTTCAGCTAATATATACCCTTGTTAGGATGTTCATAAAGCTATATTGATAGATAAGTAGACAAAAGAAGTATAAAAGGATTTAATCTTCAGAATATTTATTTCTCTCGTCCAGATCTTTTTCCCGTCCCAAGGGCATGAAATTCTGTGCTTACTACATCTTTGCAGCCATTGTTGATTATACTTTCCATTTATGAGGTCATATTTTCGTTATGTCAGGCTGGTACATGTCCATCTGTTTACGTTATGCTGGTGTTCCGTTATTCGGACCGGATTTGAGTGTCGGATTTGAGGGCATGAAAATGTACATGTTCATTTGTATATGAAGGTGTGATAAGAATCGTTTTGTAATGTGTCATGCATCAATCTAATATGAATTCGTGATTCAATGATTGAAATATAACAATTGATAACCCAAGTAATCAAAATTTAATAAATCAATAATGTAATTGTCTAGAGTGTAATTTTTTTAATTTGGTGAATAAAAATGTATAAATATGAAAATAAAGTGAGAAATTCAATAGTTTACCCAAAATTAAAAGTGCCTATTTTGGTGAAGTTTTAGGTTTGATTTAAAAACGATCCTAGACTGAACTTGAAAATTTTAATTGAAAATACATCACGTCTGGTCATTGAGCTTGATTTTTTCTGGTCAAATTGGATTTGGATTAATCACCTCTCGTCGTTAAAGGATTATATCTCTATTCGAATATTAATCTAACAATGATATTTTATAGGGTAAATTACGGGTTTAATACCTGAATTATCTGTTTTGATCTATTTTAGTATCTAAACTTTTAATTTTTTAAAATCATACCTAATGTTTAGTTTTTATTTCATTTTAGTTCATGCCGTTAAAAATTCAATGTGTTTAGTAACTAAATTATCAGTTTTAGTATCTAAATTCTCCCTCCCCCCAAAAAATTTAATGTTAAATTTTAAATGGGGATATTAAAATGAAATAAAATTAAATGTTAGTTATAATTTTTAAAAAAATAAAAAATTTAAGTACTAAAACAGATTAAAACTGATAATTTAAATACTAAATTCATCATTTATCTTATTTTAAAAGTGGACACAAATTTCAAGACCAAAGACGCATGATGTACCTATCATACATTTTCACGGGCAACATGTCGGACATGCCAAAGAAAAGAAAAAGACACCACCTCCACGTTACGCACTCTCGTAATCCATTGCATGATACTCCGGCCAGACACTCGATAACCCGTATCCGAACCCGGTCCGTAATTATTATACTCTCCGTAATAAAGCGAGTCGAAGCCTTCGTCGCTAGACTACTTCCTCCATCAGTTGGGATCTATAAAAACAGCGATGTAGGATTCGAGAAAAACTACAGTGGAATACACCCTCCATGGTCTCCCTAGGTAGCTTTTAACGCTGCTTGAATTCCCGTACAGTTCGTCCGTGGCGAGAATCGAACAATTCTGGATCGATATCCCAGTGTACTCGTCCGGGGCATCTCGAGATTGAACCGTGATAATGCTGAACTGACCCGGCATCGGCATCCTTGAGATTATGTTACATGCCTGGAACCATGGTTTTCAGAATCGGACCGGTTAGCGAACCGGTCATGCTGGTTCAACCGGTCGAAAGAACCGGACGACGTCATAATTATTTAAAAAATTAAATAAAAATACCAAAAATATTTAATAAAAAATAATTTTTTATAACACAAGTCATATTCAAAGCCAGTCACAACACATATAAGTTAAAAACTATAAAATCAAGTGAAACAAAATTATTCAAATTAACTACAACGTAATATTTAAGGTAAAACATATTAAATAATAAATATAATTATATAACTATAATTAAAAAATAAATTTGGGGTTAAAAAATCATAACAAAATTATATAACTATTCTTTCACTCCAATCAAGCTCAAATTTTAGGCTTCAATCGAGCTTCTAATTTTTTTTGAGTTCAAGTCTTTTTGAGTTCAAGTTTCAATATTATATTTCGAGTTTGAGTTGAACTTGATAATTTTTAGCTTGTGAGTTTGAGTTGAGTTGAGCTTACTTTTAAAGTTTTCAAGTTCGAGTCGAGCTCAGCAATACTCGAGTTCGACTTGGCTCGTTTAACAAACGACGTTGTTTGGTTTAATTTTTTTTTAAAAAAAAAAACAAAAATCTCAGTTTTTTCCGGTTTTCAGCCGGTCCGATTCGAACGGTTCAGCGGTTCTGACCGGTTCACTAATAACGGTTCAACCGGTTTAGATTGAATCAGACTAAGCAACGATTCTCGATTGAACCGGTTGAACCAACCGATCCGGTCCGGTTTTCAAAACAGAGCCTGAAACACGGCAGCAGCGTTTCCGAATATATAATCTACGGTCCCCGATACGTTGCATTCGCGGTAAAATGGTCGGAATGAATGGACATATAATGTGTCCTGGTAACCATTTATGGCACATCTGTAGAATGCAGCGGAATCTGCATTTACTCTCAATGCAACTGTTTGGTGCTTCTCTAGTTCTCTGCCGCCTCCCTGTTCTATATGGTTATGTCCCGTGCAAAAAAGCCTTGCTGCGACATAAATTTATGAACGAAACGAGTTACAATCGACCGTGATCATTGGATTCGGAGACGTTGCATCCGATTAAATCGAAAATTCTTAACCGAGTTTCGGAGATTACCGACAGTTGCCGATCTGAGAGTGGTTCAGCCATCACCCACACTACGTTTCCCAGTAATGAACGTGGCATCAGTGCCATCGCCGAGCAAAACAATGTTGGTTTTACTGCCTGGGATCTCCACATTCTCGTCGTAAACACTTTCCCGAACATAGATCATTACCCTCTCTTTGCTCTTCTTAGGAGCAAATATTATAGCCTCGGCGATGGTGCTAAATTCCCTGTGCCATCGGCCGCAACTGTCAGCACCTGGTCGTGTCGTACTCGTCGTCGATGCCTCGCAAGAGTCGCCGACCACGATTACAATGCCGTTTTCCCGACTTAGGCAGCATTGAAAGAGAGTTGCTTACATGCTTGTAAGTACTGATCAAAGATTTCACAATGGCAGGTTTCAATGGACCTGATGCAATATCTAACCCTTCTAAACATGTATCAGCTATCTTCCTCGAATCGAAGACCGTTTTCTTCAACAAAGATAGTGTTGATTCATGGAGTTCCCTGCAATCTTGCAATGCACCTCTTTGTTTCTCGACGATAACGTTTCCATTTCCGCCATTGGAGAATAAACTTGTTAGCTTCGCGACTTCGGCTAATGCGGTGTTGAGGGTTTGAAGGAGGTAGAAAAGCATGTTGGGCTAATGTTTACTGAAATGGAAAGCTTCAATGAATCGAAACAAGAATCTGGGTATGGAGTTGATTTGCCGAAACTTCGTATGGAAGTGAGATTTGGGTTCAGAGAATCTGTTGAAGAAAGGTTGAGAGAGAACGTTGAAGAGAAGAAGAAAAAGATGACCATGATGAATATTGGTGTAATGGTGGAAGCTATTGAAGCCTGTTGCAGAAGCTAATAGGATTGTTTTATATTTATATATATAGACCAATGTAGATCAGATGAGGCAAATTGTTGAGATTGTCAGGCATGACTAGTTGCTATGTTGGTCGAAGAAGCTATCGCCATGCTGGATGAAGATAACATGTACTAACTCCGTTACACACTTTTTTGGCTGTTAAGGAATCGCTTAAACACAGAATTTGTAAATGCCGAGTTTCTCACCTGCTGTTTTCGTTGTATTTTTGAACTGAAAATGTAATTCCTATGATTTTTCTTTAATAAAAAGACAATGTTTCGCAGTTTACGCATGCAGTCCGAGACAGATGATGTTGAGTTGTCAGATTACACCTTGATGGCGTTGAGATACCATGAGTTGATATATCAGCACAAAGGCGAGAATTGATTGTAATATGTTCTTCATTGGGACCGTTTTGAGTATGTTTCAGTCTTTTGGTCATAACTTTGGCTACGGGTGTCAGAATCGTGCATAAGACCCCAATCCGGAAAGCTCTTTTCGACACGCACGCTGTCCACATGGAGCTTTTCCCTCCGAATCACTAGATTTAGATATTTTTTTTACTATTTATGGTAATATTTCGATTGTCAAGTAGGAAATCATTTTAAATCCGATTTCGGACGGATTTTTTGAAGATTGCTTATTTTATTTTGAGTTTCAATTTCGAGTGATTTTCGGAATTTTGCTATTTTTGGTAAAATTCTGATAAACAAGATTTTTGGCTATAACAGTCCGGCTTGTGGACTTATTTTGGATAGTTTTGATTTTATAATATTTTATTAAACCCTAAAGACTTTTTTCTCTGGTTTTTGGGTAAATTTTCTCTTGTGAATCATCTGTTGGAACTAGCCTAAAGGATAATCGTTATTCTGTTTGGCGTCAGATATTTTCAAAATCACTTTAGAATACTCAAATTTGTTCGAAAATAGTTTTTTTTTGAATAAGTCAGAATTTTATTACCCACAAAATAAAGTTTAAGTACAATCAATAAACAGTAATAAATCAAAAGAAATCAACCTATACAAAAAAGATTAATTAGACTATACCCCAAACATCACAAAGCTTAAGATTAACACTATTAAGTCTATTAATATTAGTACCCCTAAGACTAATCCCAACAACGTCTTTAACTTCATTGAGCAAGCATTCCACCGTTCTATGACGTCCTAAGAAGATTCTTTGATTTATTCCCTATCAGATGAAGTAAAGAAATGTTGTCCAAGATATTTTCAAAATGGTGGTAAAAAGTGACATTCCTTTCCATGAAGAAGTAGCCTTTGAAATCATTTCATCCCATGTCATGGAAGATGAATTCATCCCATTAAGCTTCAGAATAGCATTCCAGAGAGTTGCTGTCAGTGGGCATTGCATGAAGAGGTGGTCCCTTGATTCCATATTAGTGCCGCAGTTTACACAGTGGATATCAGTACAAATTCCCATTGTATTGAGTCGGTCTCTACTTGGCATCCAGCTGAGAATTATCATCCACGCAATCAAGTTTAGCTTTGGAATATGTAATGGGAACTAAATTAGTTTGTGCCAAGTTACTTTATGTTCTCTAAATCGGATCAGATCCCATATGTCCCTTGTTTGCACAGTATCAACTGAAATAATTGGTGAAGCTTCTGTCCGCAATTTCAATAGTCTTCTTATGCTCCAACTAACGTTAACACCAGCTTGAAACTGCCAAAATTCGTGCTCCTTGAATGTTATATCAAAATCACAAACCTCAGACCAGATTTCACCTTCTAAATGAAACAAAAACATAAAGTTTAGAATGTTATCTATGGTAAATATAATCCTATAAGATAACAATTTGTTGAATGAATTTGGAGAAATAGTGGTTTTGGTCCCCTATTATATTTAAATTTAGAATTTAATCCTTATGCATTCAATCTTCTATCTTTAATTTTGTAACGTTATTAGATACTCTAAATAACTAATAAAATTAATTTTCCCCTCATAGAAATAATCTTTTTATTCATATTTAAAATTCTTTAATATATATATATATTTGTGGGGGGGGGAAACAAAAGATATATGTTTGAAGCTTTAAAGGGCTTTCATTGATGACCAGAAAAATGGGCTGCAAACACAAGCAGGCTGGTTTAATGAAGAAAAGTAAGGGCCCCCATCTAAGATAAGCATCGAGATCCGAGTCTCCCTGTTGGATAACACGAGAGCTTATGCAAAAAGAAACAGCGTAATCTGCGGCTTTTCCTCTTTGTTTAATCCAGAACCGAATGTTTTTGCAGTTCATTATCTTCATTATTAGGGTTTTTATATATGAATTGGTTCTTGTTTCTGGGGATCATTTTGACTTTTGATACAGAAAATAAAGGAAAAGAAAAGGAAAAGAGAAAGAGGAGGAGGAGGAGGAAGGCATAGCAAAAGCAAAGCGAAAAACTCTACCCCCAAAGTATCTTTCCTTCTTTCTTTCGAGGCTTTTGCTTTACAAAGGTCAGCTGATAAGATAGACATGGAAACCGCGAAATGCCAATTTCCTTTTCTTTTACTCAACCCTAGTTATGCTTTTACGTGCGTTGTTCACTTTCTTTTATGCTTAAAGTGCAGAGACAACAGCTATCCAAGACCCTCGAGGAATTTGAGAATCTAATCCTCCACCGAGTGAACTCAGCCTACAATTTTTGTTTCATTTGCTGTGACTCTTTACTCTCTTTGCTCGTGTGTGTGCGCTAGTGTGATAGTGAAGCTTCAGTTTCACTCTCGTTCTTTCTTTAGGATAAATTATAAATTGGGTAAATGACAAAGTTGGTAACTTAACTTTAATCTCTCTTCTATTTCACTTACTGTACTTTAATTTTTTTTAATTTATTCACTAAACTTAATACATTATTTTTTTGTCATTTGACCGTTAAATATTTAATATTATTAAAATAGATAGTTAAATAGATACAAAACGACATCGTTTAGCTGAAAATTTTATTTTTTTTAAACGAAATCGTTTTTAACGTCGTTAACTATTTAACGAAATCATTTAACTATTAACAAAATCGTTTTTTAAGTCATTGTATTAAGTTCAATGAGAAAATTGAATTTTTTTAAATTTAGTGAGCAAAATGGAAAAGAGAATAAAGTTCAACGATGAAATTTGTAGTTTACCCTTATAAATTTCACTGTTCAACTTTAATATCATTCCTGTTTTAGCTATTAGGCTTTTAAAATATTTTAATATGCTTATCGATTTTTTGAATTATTTTTGTTTTGATCCTCTCATGTAAGTATTTTCGGTGTTTATGATTGAGAATATATATTTTTCGAAGTTATGTAACATCCTCAAAACATTTTTAATTTTCGGAAAAACACATTGATTTTAAATTTCTTTTAATCTTTTGACGATAAAATATCATTTTCAAAATTTCAATGATAAAAAGTAAAGAAGAAAGAGACGAATTACATCATGATTTCAAGTCAATAATAAAATGAATATTCTAGATTGGAATAATTTTATATTTGGATTGAGCTTTACGGGTTTTAAAGAGATTTTGAGAAAAATTATTAGAGTGACGAGTTTGATAATATTTTGAGTGGTAGAAGAAAACACTTAAAATGATGATTATAACATCAATATGATTGTATAACATCATAAAAAAATATTTTTTTTTGGAGAAAAATAAAAAAATAAAAAGGGAAAAAAGAGATGAATTACACATGGCAAATCATGTTAGTAAAAAACAGTCCATATCATTCAAGAAAACATACCACATCACTCTATGTTATATCTGATTTAACGATCGAGTGATTAAAGGAAGAGTAATTTTAAAGTTTGATCATTAAATTGAAAACTTTAAAAGTTTAGTGATCAAAACATAAGTGAGTTTAAAGTTGAGTGGTAAAAAGTGTAATTTATCCTTTTGTAAATATTAAATCTTTACTTTGGTACGTCGCTCGTGCCCACAGTGTGTCAACGCTTACAAAAAAAACAACCCCAAGGAAGTTTCGTATCTATGAAGAAAGAAGGGGAAAAAAAAACCTAAATTTTACTTTGCTAATATCTTTACTATTTGCTTTCTCCCTTGTGTACTTTTGCTTTGCTTCGGCCTTTGGGGCCTCTTTCAAATTCGTCCCTCTTTTAAACCCCACAGATTCACAGTCCAAGTTTCACTTACTGCTCCTCTTGCACCATCTCTTGCCCCTTCTGCTTCCTTACCATCAACAGGTACATTTTCCTTCTTTATCCTCTCATCTTCTCTTGTTTCAAGCTTCTTCTTTTATCCGCTTATGTTTTAGCTTTATTAGAATTTAGAGAGAGAGAAATACACCCTTTTTGTAGATTTTTGAGTTTTCCTTCTTTAATTGATGGATTCCCAAATTTATTTTTCTTTGAAGTGAAATTAGGTGGTGCTCTAGTTGTTTTCTTGTTTGATGGTATAATTTGATGATTCATGATGATGGTCTCTTATTTAATGGTGTGTGGTGTGGTATTTTTGTTGATTGCAGTTGATTTTGTGAAGTAACCTGTCAATGGAGATAGCTAATGGCTGCAGTTCAAGGTCATCTAGGAAGAGGAGGTTGCTTGAAGAAGAAGAAGAAGGGGATGGGACGTTGGATTTTTCCTTGGATGATGTCAATGAAGACCTTTTGGAAAGGGTCCTTTCATGGCTGCCGGCTTTGACGTTATTTCGCATCGGTTCGGTGTGCAAGAGGTGGAGATCGGTGGCGGGATCGGAAAGTTTCAAGCTGGCTTGCTCGAGGATTCCTTCGAGGGATCCGTGGTTTTTCATGGTGGATTCTGAGCTTAATCAATCGGTAGTCTTCGACTCTGCCGAACGTAGTTGGAAAAGACTCAATCATCCGCATTCCCTATTGAATAACCGTAATCGAGACTCGATTCCGGTTGCAGCGTCTGGCGGCCTCGTATGTTTCCGGAACACGTCCGGCGGTTATATCGTATGCAATCCCGTGACCGGTTTGTGTCGCGAACTCCCTACTGGTGATTCAGACTCTCAGGGCCATTCCCTTAATGCTATTGCAATGAATGCATATTCCAACTACCATGGTTCATACAAGCTCGTCTTAGTCTCTGGTGATCTTCCAAAGCTTTCATTCAAAGTTTATAACTCAACTGATAATTGCTGGGAAGAAGAGATTATATTGAGGAGAGAAGCCGATGGCCATACGGGATCCGACTTAAACGATGACGAGGACGATAGCAACATCGACGATGATGCCGTTTACTTCCTTAGTAAAGCTGGAAATGTAGTGGTAACCAATATGCAAAGAAGCCCTTCCAAGCAATATTCATCAGTGTTTACACTCAAAGATGGTGAGGAGATTGTTTATTTCCTCAGCTCCTCAGGCAAGGTAACCGCTTGCAATCTGACCCTGAAGTGTTTCTCCGAATATCCGAGACTGTTGCCGCTCTTTACCGAGTACTCCATCGATGTGGTAGAGTGTAAAGGAGAGATGTTGGTCGTCGTGTTATCCGAATTCTTCGAAAGTGCTAGCCTTAGGGTGTGGCGGTACGATCCGAAAACGAAGACATGGAATCAGGTTGCTGCGATGCCGCCTGCAATGTCACACGAGTTCTATGACAAGAAGTTGGACATAAACTGTGTTGGCGCTGGTGATCAGATATTTATCTGCTTAAGCTCTGCTGAGCTTTGCAGTTATGTTCTCTATGATTTTGCGACGAACCGATGGATCGAACTGCCCAAAAGTTCGGTGAACGGTGAAGCATTGGAGTTCGTGTCCGCGTTCTCGTTCGAGCCAAGGATCGAGGCTTCTGTGTGAAGGAAAAAACAATGGTGTGAAGGAAAGGATTCGAGTATGCAGCTTTTTGCTTCATTGTTCTATTACTTTATAGTATACTGTTTAATGCTTTAATTCCATGAATTCATTTGGTTTCATAAAATCTTAAGAATAAGTAAAAACTAAATTGATAGAATTTTAAAATACGGAGGATTAAATATTATTGAATTATTTAATATTAATATCAATTTGATAAAATATATAAATTTTAGAGATAAATTATTTATTACACCAATTATATTGGATGTTTGTTTCGACGTGAACGATAAAATGACATGTTTATAATAATATCTTAATTAAATAATTAAGAGTAAATTACATGTTTAATAAATAAACTATAAGATTTAGTCTTGTTTTAGTTCCTAAACTTTTAATTTTTTAAAATAATATTTAAATTTTAATTTTTATTTCATTTTAGTACCTCATCATTCAAAATTTAATATTAAGTTTTGAAAAATTGAAAGTTAGGTACTAAAACAGATCAAAATTGATAGTTTAGGTAATAAACGCGTTAAGTTTTTAACAACGGGTACTAAAATAAAATGAAAACTAAACGTTAGATATGATTTTGAAAAAATTGAGAGTTTAGGTATTAAAAAAGATCAAAATTGATAGTTTAGGTACTAAATATATAGTTTACTCAATAATTAAATTATAATTTTTAATAAAAGAAAGTGATTCATTTATAATTGATCTAATAACTTAGTGGCATGAAGTGGATTTCACCCAATAAACAATCTTTTTTTTTTTGTTCTTCATACAATTAAGTTGATCGAGAAACGTTTAATAACCATGGCGACATGGCACGCATATTTTCCAGCAAGACGAAGAGCATCCATTAAACCAAATTTCAAGCTCTCACAGGGTATCTATCAATGCAATCAAGCCATGGATTCTCACCGGACGGCCTCCTCACACGGCGCATCGAACGCCATACCGCGTTGTTGCATTTAAACCCAGAACCGAACGCGATCTGCCAAATCCTGTCGCCACTTTTGACCCTCTCCTTAGCCTCCAAATACCCCAATTCGTACCATATGCTGCTGCTCGACGTGTTGCCGAAGCGGTGCAGCGTCATCCTCGAGGCTTCCATGTTGTCTTCGCTGAGCTCCAGGTTCTTTTGCAGCTCGTCCAGCACGGCCCTGCTCGCCGCGTGCACGCAGAAGTGTTCGAACGCCAGCTTGTACTCGGGGATGTATGGCTTTGAGGATGGCGATGATGAGGTTTTGGATTTGTTGCTTTTGTTACCGCCGGAGAAATGGCGGCGGATTAAGGTGGCGAAGAAGAAGAGTTGTTCGGAGATTGGGAGGACGAGTGGGCTCAGTGTTGTGATGTTGGTTTTGAGGGCGTCTCCTCCGATTTCCATTAGATTTTTGCTGACTTTTAGACCCTTCCTCTTGGTAGATTGACCCCTATTTCCACAAGTTTCAAAAAAAAAACGTCATCTATCAATGCATCACATTTTTAAATATTTAACAATTAATTTTATATTTTATTTTGTATGATTTAATATAATGTTTTATTAATTTCCTTGACTAAAGTTATAAAATGATCATCCAACTATAAAATATTATCTTATTAAGTCTCTTGACTATTAAAATTTACAAAATGATCATTCGACTATTCATTATGTTCCAGAGTTGCCTTTTTTAGTTAAAAAATTGACGGTTTTTTAAGTTGGACATTAACATAATAACAATGATAGAATAGTCGTTTGGGATTATATGATCAAATTTTATCATTTCACAATTAATAAATTAATGTTCAGCTCAAAATATCGTCAATTTTTAACGAAAAAGAATGAGTTTAGAACATAATGAATAGTCAGATAACCATTTTATAACTTTTAATAGTTGAGGGACTTGATAAAATAGTACCTATAATCAAGGGACCCTCTATGTTATTTACCCTTTAATTTAGTGTTTTATTATAATATATTAAAATCTATCTAACTATCTAGAGGTTAGTTGACCGGATACGTATTTATTGGGCAGTACTTATTCATCCATCAATTGTCTGTAATTTTAATTTGGTAATATTTTTTTTATTTTAAAGATTAAAACAAAGAAATTATAGGAATGTAAATAAAAAATTCCAATCATCAAACTAAGAGGGCTGACGAAGTTGATTTATTTTGTATCCATCGAATAGAGATAAAGACGATATTCTCAATTAATTATTAATTCACAAATATTAAGATTCAAACTTTAATTTTAATGGATATAATATGATTGTTAACGACTGATAAAAGATAAGTTGAATTAAAAAAATATGTATAATATGACCCAAATGGATAAAGAATAATAAAATTGAGATTAACACATGTTAATAATACAAACAAATTTTTAAACATTTTATGATTTTTATTTTTTTACGGAAAATTATATATTTTCCTCTAAATTTACCCTTAAAATATTATATAAAAATAAAATTTATTTCTATAAAAATATTTTCTAAGAAAAATGAAAAGAATTTGATAAATAATATAAATTGGCCCATTGATAAATAATTTAGGGTTCAAACCTGGGGCAAGGGCGTGAAATGGATGGCCCTTACCACCAGGCCAACATGTTACTTGATAATTATGTGTAACATTAACCAAAAATAAATATCCAGGTTTAAAAAAAAATTATACGCGCGTTTAGCATACATATACGCTTCAAACGATATTTCCCCCCAAACCCAAGTATCCCCAAATGCAAATCAAACCAAAACCCTAATCGCATATCCCCTTTCAATTTCTACTCCATCAAATATCCTCTACAAGAACAAATTTTCCTTCAAGCAGCAGCCTCAAACCGATCAATTAAGCGTATATTTTGAAGGTGAGTTGATTTGTTTGAATGGAATCATAAATTACATGAAATCGCAAATCCACTTTCACCTTCGACTCCATGAAATATCGTCAATTTCGAATTGGTTTTTGATTTAGTTTTGTTAAATGTTTGGGTATGTGACAGTTTCGAATGGGTTTTCGATTAAGTTATAGTTCATTCAAGTTTTTATTTGGTTTAGTTCAAAATGAACATTGATTTGTGAATATCACTTGAATTAATTTAATAATTAACGTTGTTTGTTTTTTATTTGGGTTGTATTAGAGATTGTGTAATGGACAGGTTCGCATGTCTAACCATCGTTAGTGCTTCGCGACGATATTTCGTCTACGACGGTGACCCAAAGAAGTGTTATTGCAATAAATTGGCATCTAGGGAAATTTCATGGAGCATTTAAACCCCGGAAGAAGGTATTACGGTTGCTCAAATTTTCCGGTAAGAATATGTTTATAATTACTTTGTATTATTTAGCTTGAATGATAAAATGTTGTTGCATATATCGATTGATAATGAATATGCCTTTTCCCCTTATTGTAGCACGGTTGTAGGTATTTTGAATGGTATGATGGTAGCATGCCAGATCGAGCTAATTACTTACTACGACAATTACGTGATAGTGAGCGAAATTTAACGAAAGAGAATGCAAGACTTAGAAGACATATTAGAAGTTGTTCCTCTACTGCTCAAAGGAATAGTGTGTTGTTGGAAGACAGTGAAAGTGAAAGTGTTCAAATCAAAGTTAATGAGATTGGAAGTGTGCAACGTGAAGACAATGACAATGAATTAAGACAAAGATTAAGAGCTTGAAGGAAAAATCTAAAACAATGAAGAAAGAAAAGGAATTTTATAAGATAATGTGTATTTGCTCAATGGTGTGTCATATGTATCTTTGTGGTAATTGTACTTGCAATAACACTTTAGGTGTTTTGTTAAAGATTAAGAGTTTATGTATGTGTAATACCAAGTGTATGATTGTTACCTATCGAGAAGAAATGACTATGTATAATATTAAGTGTTTAGTGTTTTCATTATCTTGGCTAGTAATATGCTTAAACCGAATAAACAGAAAATAATCGAAAAGAAATGTTATTGCTTCTTGAGTTAGGCATATATTTGCCATACAAAAAAAACATATATTACTGCTATAGGGTATATCATATAAAGTTAGGCAGATATTTGCCATACACAAAAGAAGCTCAACCCAAAACATATACCCTAACAAAAATCAGCATAACCAAAAGACCCACTCGATCAGATAATTCATTTATTCTTTTTTGGTGCTACTGATTCTTGAGTGCCCAAATGGTCCTCAGTTCCTTTCCTTTTCTTTGGTGCTCTTGTACCAGACTGATAACATATTAGAAAATTCAAACATTATTCAAGTTTTCGAAAAAATATGTTACTTATTTAAAACGTTCTTACATAGAATGTCTGCTCTCCAGTCCTCAAGTTTGTGTAAAGGCCTATCCCTTCATATCTTTTTTCCTCATTGATCTATCAGAAGTAACACAGGCCTTTCCTTCTCATTTCCTTTCCTTGATACATGTGTTGGGTTTGAATCGATTGTACTTGGTGATCTTATCGAAGAATTCCCATCGATATTAAGGTCCTGCACAAAAAATTGTACTATAAAAATCAACATTAACTTGAACTTTTAAAACAATTTGAATACATAAACTATAAATAATTGGTTTGCAGTACATGATCTTTTATTGTGACCTTGTCCACCACATTTTTACAAGTCATAATAAGACCAATCCTGCTAACATGTCCAGGCTTCATTTTTTTTTGGTTCATCTTTTTGCTTCCTTCGATTTTTCTTAGGCCTTCCAGGCATATCTCTATCAACCAGTGGAAGAACTTGTTCAATTCCAGTTTTCTTCCAATCTTGAGGCCCATTAATAGGTTGCAAAGCATATTTATATGCTTTAATGTATGTGTCTTTGTGATAGAAGGAATGTATCCATTCATCTGGGTCCCCACCAGTATGCCATATTGCACAACAAGCATGCGGACACGAATCCCACTTAGTTGCCACATTCTGCAGGTACAGGTTTTTTCATTCAAGTCTACAATGTACTGCTTATTCCTTTCTTTACCTCACATTCATTATCTCCATTCCAAATCATTCTCCACTGAATGTTTTCTTCATGATGTCAAGTTTTTTCTTGATTAGTGGCCCAAAATTGTACTTCATGTAGTGAGGAATCTCACTTTTCAACTATTCTTGTCATTTTCTTCACTCGAATCTCTTCAAGCATTGTAATGATGCTCTTGTACCTTGCATCAATAATGCTCAAATTAAAAGCCTCACACAAATTATTGTCCACTATATCTAACTTGGAATGCATCATTTGAAAGGCCTTGGTCCACATTTTATCTTTTTTGCTAAACAATTCAATAGCAAGTACGCTATCAATCTTTGACAATGCATCTTTGTTTCCTCCATTCTCTCTCAGTCGTGGACTTCACAATTTGCCAAAAGGCAAACTGATATGATTTTGCTCTCTTCCTTCCAGTCCAATTGGCAAACACATGTCGAGCACAATTTCGATGTTCTACTCGTGGTAGAACATCATTTACAACAATCTCAATACCTTGTCAAGCAAAATTTAACCAAGTTTGAGATTCTATTCAATTATCATAGAACAACAAGTTATATAACAGAACCAAGTCAGACTGTGTACAGTAAAATAACAACTAGCATCAAGTAAAATTAATATATTGATTTACCTTGTGTTGGTCATGATGATGGTGTAGCCAAATCCATCATCCAATCCCAAGTCTGCTGATACTATATTTAGAAACCAAGACCAAGAATATGTGCTTTCACCCTCGATGACAACCCATACGAAGGGTACATCTGATCATTGCCATCTCTCCCAACAACAGATAAAAGTATGCCTTTGAATGGGCCCTTAAGGAAGCAACCATCTACACCGATTATAGGCCTACACCCTTCTTTCCAACCTCTCTTCATAGCATCAAAGCATACATAAAATCGTTTGAAGTGAGGTAGAGAATTATTGACACCCTATTTACTGTCATCTTTATTGTACTCCCTGGATTCTTTGACCTTAACTCATATGCATAATCCCACAAGTTTGCAAATTCTTCCTTCATGTTTCTGCCTATCCTTGATGTCACCATATTCTTTGCCCGTCGACATTTACTCAGATTAACATTTATATGTATTTCAGATTGCACCTTCTTTGTATCTCTTTAAGTTTCATTTTTGGGTGGTCTCTAATTGTATCTTCAAAATGTTCTGCAATTACCTTTGCAGTCACCATCTCGTTAGTAAAACTAACAGGGCAGTTGTGTTCATCTATGAAAGTCTTAACCTATAGACTCCCTAACCTCTTATTTCTACTCACATAGATTCTACATGGACAACTTTTAGATGCATTACATTTGTAACTAATCCTGTTAGTTTCATAATGTACAATTCTTAACTCTCTTCTATTGCATCTTGAGTATTTATGGATGGCAGCTTTGAATTATTTTCCATTTATAAATAGCATCCCCAAACAAAGAATGAAGACTCTCTGTATTTGGGTTGTAAATAGGATATCTTCCTCTTCTCCTAGCACCTTCTTCATGTTCATCATCATCTGACATGATCAAACTCCCATGGTCATCACTGTTATAGTAATCAGTATCATTCCCACCTACATCTTCTGTAACTCCATTATTACCTCCTTCATCTACTCCCTCATCATGGAAATCAGTGTCATTTCCCACGAAACCACTATCATTTCCCTCATCAACATGTTTTTTACCTTTATTATTCTCTCTTGCAGATTTTAGTTCATCATCACCCTCATTGTCAGATAAATATGGAACATCCATACTATTTGCACTTTGTTCCTCACTATCACTATCACTCTCTTCATCATCTTCATTTGTATTCTCAAATTCTTCGACACCTCTCGCCGCCGCCACCACCAGTAGCATCAATACACCCTCTCCTTCAGCAACAACATCCTAAACACCACTATCCATGCAGCAGTATCATCAACACCTCCCCTATCACAATTTAACCCATCATGTTCTGCAACATCTCCAATATCATCAAGACCAGCAGCATCAACTACATTTTCAACAACCCTCTCAGCAGCATAATCAGCAACACCCTCAGTTGCACCCTCACCAGCACCCTCACTAGCACCCTTAGCAGTACCCTCAACGGCAATTATTGGTAAAATATCATCAACAATAAAAGAGTGTCTACTTCATGCTCAACATATATGTCTATAAAGCCATAGTTTACCCAGTAATTCAACATGGCAATTATACTTGTATCATCCCAAAGCACCCTAAGATTATCTTGTTAACGACCACTAAATGGTTCATGGAAGTATATAATTTGTATACTATTAAAATGTAACGTATTTTGAATAATTTTACGAACTTCAAAATACGAAATTGTACCTGAATCTCTTTCAACCTAATCAACTCACCACCTCCATATCGCACGTATGGATTGCGGACAAATTGCCACCAACATGCAAATTCATGTAATACTCTTTTTCCTCGTCCATCTGTATTTATAATAAAACAAATTAATTTTAGCATGCACATGAAGGGACCCAAATAGTGTAAAAAACAGAAAATTGATGTTGAACATGGGGGACCACTTTCCTAATAAAAAACCAAACATGCAGTCCCACCACTAAAGTACCCTACAAAATGCAATCCCCCACTGATGATATATGCATCCAAATTATGCTTTCCACATTTTATTCATAACCCTAAACCCAAGTAATAAAGCCTCAAACCCAAATATATACCCTTTCATGCAAAACCCACAAGTTAGAAAACCCAAAAATTTTACAAATGCTTCGACACAATGACATAAACCAAAACATTTAACCAAACCCAAATAATCGATGTTATTCTTTAAAACTAAACTCACTTCTATTGTATTTAAGAGAGAGAGAGATTGAATGGGGAAGTGAAGGAAAATTTATTCTTGTAGAGGAGATTTGATGGAGTAGAAATTGAAAGGGGATATGCGATTAGGGTTTCGGTTTGATTTGCATTTGGAGATACTTGGGTTTGGGGGGGAATACCGTTTGAAGTGTATATGTATGTTAAACGCGCGTATAATTTTTTTAAAACCTGGATATTTATTTTTGGTTTATTAGCATAATGTTACACATAATTATCGAGTAACATGCCTTATCTGGTGGCAAGGGTCATCCCATTTCACGCCCTTGCCCCAAGTTCGAACCCCATCCACCGCGTTGTGAGTCTTTCATCCCTTCTATCAAATACGCACGCCCTAATGGGAGAGTGACACGTGTCACTTTCTTACTGGTTCACATTTTTTATTTACATTTTATTATAAAAATATGACGTGTAATTCACGTCAGTAAAAAATAATGACATGGAAATGCCACATCATCATAGATGACCACATGTGCATGCCACGTCAGATGAACCCGTTGACCATCAGTTGACTGACGGATTCCATCCAACGGGGGACTTATGCCTCATAAACAAACATTGTGGGTAGAACTGCTCCAAAAAAACGATTTGGGCACAAATACATATAGTATCAAATGTTAGGGGTATTTGTTTGCATTATGCCAATTAAAATCTATTTAGTTATATAGGAGGGAGAGTGAAAAGTTTAAATACGTATTTATTCCAAAGCTATAATATAGCATTAACTATTCCCGCATAAACAGGTAAAAAAAAAACCTGAAACTCCGGTCATCAGCTCCCTTATGCGTCCTCACAAGGTGTTCAAGCCTGTACTTAGCACGGCGGTAGTCACGATGGCGGTCAGACAAAAGCACGGCGGAGAATCCCATCCTGAAAAAACAATTCGGAACAAGCATTGACCGATCCTTACCGGGTACCAATTGTACCCTACCATCTCAGTGCTCACCACCACGGCATAGTTATTCGGGTTGGCCTGCAACATGTCCCGAGCCAAATCCACCGCGACGATCACCGCGCTGCACCCCATCCCGCCCAGATTATAGCTCAAAATATTGCCCCTCATCTTATAACGGTTGATGATCATCGCCGAGAGAGACAGCGTCGGATTGAAAATGCTGCAGTTCCCGACAAGAACCCCAACATCCTTGGGTCGAATCCTCTTCTTTTCGAAGAGCTCGTCGAGTGCACCGAACATCCCAGTCGACGCTGCACAGTTTTCTTTCGACATAATCGCCTTCGGGACATACGTCTCGTCACCGATCCCCGACGTTTTCAGTATCCTCTTCTGGAAAAGGCTCGGTTCATCGAACTTGCCCGACGCTCTTGCGAGTTCAATAAACTGATCCTTGGTCATCTGCAACACAATGGGAAGCATCAAACACAGATCTTTTTGTAGGATTCATGCATGTGAAAGATGAAAGATATCGACCTTGAGATCATCGTGGGGACGATAACAAGCGAAATCAACAAGATAAATGGACCGAGGGCGTGACATGAAGTAGACCGAGACGTTGAACACAAACACAGCGAAGAACGAAAGCACAGTGGCGAGATCATAACGAGCATCTTCCCAAAGCTTTTTCCAAAGCTCTTCCCTGCTGAGGCTGCCCACTTCGGCACTAAAAACAAGCACCAGCACAGGTATGGTAGCCAAGTAAATCCCATGGTTGATCAAATAATGGTACCCCAACTTCACATATTTCAAGTTGACTTACTGGAGAAAATCCGGGAGCCGCCTTCGAACGGAGAAGGTTAAGGAGCCGGCGTTTGGCCCCGATGACTCGATCCCACGGTTGACGATCTCGGTTGACAGCAAATCTTGCTCTTTTCTAGCCACAGTATAAAGCCTGAGCTGTAGGATAACTATATAGGACGGTGATGAACCAGTGCCATGTGTATTAAATATTTAAATGTGGGATGCTAGGTGGAAGATGGATATAGTTAATGCTTACACCAACTGACTAGTTGGAAAGGTTTTCATTTTTCAACCGGCCGCCATAAATTCTTTCATTAAATGAAATCTGTTCCAATTCAAATCCAAGAATACAGATAGAGATGATATATATATATATATATATATATATATAAGTTGATTTTGCTGTTGCGTCTTCACTCTTTGGAACCTACAGTTCTTGTGATGCTTCAATGGAGTATTTCAGCTTTATCCTTCGCTTTGCAACTTTTTCATTTAAATTGTGAAAAAAACGAAAAAAAAAAACATAATTAAGATTGCATTGGGAAGTAGTTGAGAGGTTCTTTTTGAAGGTAGCAGCTGGCATAAGCTGTTTATGATATATTGCATGTATAGAGAGTTTAACCACTGTATTTACTTGAAATAAATATTACCAGTAAAGGAAGATTTAAGCTCAGAAAATATTATTCATTTTCAAAAAATCAAATTTAAACAATAATATAAAGTATGCATGGTATATACTAATTTATAGGATAAATTACACGTTTAGTATATTCATTATAAGTTTTGATCCATTTTAATACCTAAACTTTTAATATTTTTTATCATACCTAAAGTTTAGTTTTTATTTCATTTTAATATCATGCCGTAAAAACTCTAATTTTTATTTCATTTAGTACCCCATTCAAAATTTAACGTTAAATTTTGAAAAGATCGAAAGTTTAAGTATTAAAACGAGCAAAAACTGATAACACTAGCTATCAGATTTAACTTGTATGCCAGAAACAGTTAATTTCATCACAATGGAAATCGAGTAAGGTCCATTTATTTGGCTGTTGATATGTTGTTGCAGTTGAGCTATCAGTTATCTGTAAAATCCTGCCTTTCTTCAAATGAGTGTACTTATCCCATAAAAGAAGAAAACTGGACTGCTCTTTTAATTGGCAGTTGAGGGAGTTTTTTTCACCCTCATCAGTGGTTGCCCTCGAGCAATCAATAGATTCGACTAACAAATATTTAAACTTAATTAATGTAAGCCGGCAAGATAGAAGATCCGTTATTCGGACTCGGATTGAATATCGATACGGGTATATGTTTCTGTTAGTCGTTTGCAGTGAAAAAAAAGTAGTTATCGATAGATAGCTTACCTTTTCCGTCATGACTGAGGTTAAGAACCCGGTTCATAAATACTGCTGAATGGGATGAACGACCGCTAGACGATACTGCACTATTCTCGATATCTCGAATTAGTACCTGCCGGGCTGCCGGTGCTGAGCTCCCCTTGCCGTTCAAACTTGTAAAGCATGAGGAGTGCAGCAGAGTCAAAAGAGCTCTTTTCTTTAAGCTCTTGCTTCTCTGGTGCATTCAATAAAGCCGAAACTGGATACAATCAAGGTGGTTTTCGATACAAAGCTGGTAGACCCCATTCTTCTTTCGGCACCTTCACCAATTTCCATTGGAGTACTGCAAAGGAAAGCAGCAGCGGATCGGAAACAAAAACTTGGGAGGATGAGGGATGATATACATGAAAGTAGATAAAAGGTACATACCTTGATTTGTTTTGTAGCAGTGGAATCTAGGCATGGGCCATAATATATTCTTACAAAGATCATAAGGAGTCATCCTCGGTCCTCCTTTCTTCGTGTTTATCATTGCGCTTTCTTCGTAGAAAAGGAGTAACCAGAAAACCTGAACATGAACGGACATAGAACATAATGAAGAATAAAAGGCAACAATGGTGAAGATTTCTTTCAGCTTCAATCCTAGAAATAGTCAGATACTGGCACAAGAGTCTATATTTAATGAATTGTACAATCACCATGTAATTGAAGAAGGAAATTAACGAAGTACAAATTTAAGATACAAAATTAACAAAACGGAGAAAAAGAACTTGCTGGCTAGGGTCAGCCTTGTCCATCCCCCCGGTGCTCTATCAAAATGTAGTTGCCACACTCATCTAAGCATCTAAACATTAATCACACACTTCTCACTTCAGCCGTTCTGTTTTGTTTTCCTTTTTACCAACCCCCTTTTCGATTTTTTTCCTTGATTTTACAGACTTTAAATACTTCCTTTTCCATTTCCTCCCATGTACAGATACAAAAATGGCTACATTTGATTTTTTTTCTTTTTCTCTTGTTGTGTCAAAACTCTAGGAACTCGTGCTGTCGTGTTCATGGCTTCAATATATCACAACTCGAAGTAGCCCTGGCTGTGGTTCAGTATAGTCAAGGCACTCTTCTTCAAGGAGATAATGTTGTATGGCAACTGGAAGTCTAGCTGGAATACGAGATCCCCTTGTCTGGTGGCCAGCTCCGACACCTATGTAGACCTGCAGGCGCTGATCTACGGCCCGTGCTGTGCTCCTCAGCACTGATAGTTCATACTTGAGCATATGAATGGCTTCAGTAACATGCAATCCATGCAGGTCTATGATCCGTAGCTGACCTCCAACAACCTCTGGATGAACTCGGTTCCTGTATAATTAAAGTTCATAACAGTCAAACAGAACAAGCTAGTATGACTGAAATAATGACGCAAACTTAGATCATATTTATCGGAATAAGAACAAACAGTTACCCAGATTCATAACCAATAAACACAGGTATATTGATTCATCAGAGCTGTGAGTTAGAAAGACGGTCGTATAGAGAAAGGGGAAAGGGTAGGGTGAAAGGAAGTGATTACAATAATATCAACAAAAGAACATGTTTATGTCCGTTAACCACCATGTCAAGGAACCAAGTGCAACGGGAAAGAAATGACAAACCTCTGGCGATATATGGATTCTTCAGCATTTCCATGAGTTGCCTTCATACGCATACTCTGCAGTGGCCCTTTCAAACTAAGTTCCTTTGCTAGAGCTTTATTGCCAATGGGAAATCCTTGGCGCACCTATTGTAAATATATTTAAAAATGTCATATCAATTAACAACAATATGGATAGTTTGAACAGACTAAGTTCAGTGGGGGGTGAAAGAAAAGAGAGACATTAGCGATGAATAATGAGAGCAAAATACACTTTCAATATTAGACATGGCAAAATACACTTTCAATATTAGACATGGCAGTTAAACTTTAGAGGTTTGCCTTTGACCTGTCTCATGGTCGATGACTGGATGCACTCTGTGTTTTGTACAGTACCATCAGCTTTGGAAAGCAAGGGCTATTCAGGATAATTAAATGGACAGTTGTTATTGATACTTTATTGCCGTGATCACTAGACTTGGGGTTGGGAAAGTTCAACAGCCGAATTACTCAAAATGAAATACAATGAAGTTTACCTTAAAATACTTGGAGTTTGTATTCTATTAATTATTTATATTTGGATGCATATCTAGCAACGCTAATTGATTCCTGACATAACTTGGTTGACAACTGTAAAGTTACGGAATCAGTCCCAGGGATGCAAAAGGGAACAAATAAATGAAAAAATGTAAATAATAAAAGGATAAAATGTGGTTGAGAAATTAGGAGGAACATGGTTCAACAGCTTATACCATTGCTTCCTAACAAAAATGTCTAACCTATTAATATATTAGATTATTAGTTTAAATACGTGCAATAATTTCCAAGGAGATACCTGGTCAAAGTATGCATTACTGGCACGAGCATGGACTTGAGATTCTTCCCACAGTTCAGAGTATAAATTTGCTGCCACCTCAATCATATTAAAACAAATAGATATGGACAAAGCCATAGATAGCTTCTATTAAAAGCTGTATATACACATGATTAGAAGTGTTGAATATTACCCACTGTATCTCCAGTTTCAGGCCAAACAGGAGCTGAATGAGCTGACCCATGTATTTGCAACCTATTAGCATAAAACCCTCTTCCGGGTGCAGCACTGTAGGCATTAGCCGACCCATGAGAATTAGGAGATGTCATTTTCCTGATACCTGAAGTAAAATCCAAGGCACCCCCAGATGGAAGAGAAGAACTGGATTTGAACATAAGAATCTTGTTCTTGTCAGATGATTGATAAGGTTTGGCACTATGTTGAAGATCATCTCCTGCATATTTTGTAGGACCATTCTGATCATCTGACACAGTAACTGCAGGAAAACCTAGCGTACTCATCAGATTGGGAGCTGACAAGGTTTTTGAATTCAGGTTAGGGTTGAAACCACCATCAACTTGAGGCTGCAATAAAAATCAAAATGACCCATGAAAAGCTAAAAGATAAATGGAGAAAACACAGAGTAAAAAATCTGAAAACTTGGTGTATGCTGGAAACCTGTGAGCCACAGCATGCAACAATAGCCTAAAAGGATAAAGATTTCAAAAACCAAGAGGGGAAAACCCCACAAAGAAAAACTACTCCTCCAGGCCAGGCCACATGATACTATAAACTAGAGGCTACATCCTGTGGATGAATTGAGTCACCACAAAACTTTATTTTGCGCCATTTTTTCCCAATCAAAGCACAGTTAGCATCCAAACCATTACCATTCACAGCTCCACAGAAGATGCCCAGCATCCCATTAATTTAACATAACAAAAGGGGGGAAACATTTCCAGAGTATAAATAAAGGGAAAGCAAAAATGAAAGTCAAGGAAAATCCTTGACATCCTCATCTCCGTAAATCATTCCTTAGAGGGACTGCAAGTGCAACTCTCAATAAATTGATAACCAGAATTGAAAATTGGAAAATATAGAACTTGAAGATGTAAACAACTGATGCATCCCTACAACTTCAAACAGAGGATAAAAGAAAGCACAAGAAACCAACTAAAAAAAATAAGAACCACTCACCTCAAGTTGATTCAGCATTTCAATAGTCAGATTTAAGTCACAACCATTGGCAAAATAAACTTCAGCAAGGTTTTCAGCAGCAAGATCAGGGAATTGAGAAGCCAAAAATTCTACAGGATTCATTACAGGATCATCCATAATTGCGTGCTCACCCAACAAATCATTAGAGAATCTATGTCTAGAATTTCCATTATATGGTTGCCCTTCCCTCCCATTGACTAGTAGCTGATCACTATTAACAAGTTGCTTGTCCCAAGGTTTGGCTGGAAAATGCAAAAAACTAGCTGAAGTAGGATTCCTTCCATAGGATGAATCAGGAAGTCTCAATTCTTCAGCAATTTTATTACCATCAACATTATGATGCAGTAGTTTTTGATTACCAAATATATATCCACCACCAACAGAAGCAGGAAAACTTGATGCTTCGCTACCACCATGCAAGGATAAACCTGCTAAAGAAAGGCTCCCATATCCAGTTCCTCGAGAATCATCCTCATTAATAACCTTAAAATCTGGAGTAATGTCATCAGGAAGTTGGCGACGCCAGAACTGATGAGCCTCATCATCGGAATTATTTGAAATGGAAGACTCAGACCGATCAAGCACTGATTTTCCTATAGTTCTAGAAATAGCAAACCTTGTTGCATCAACTGCGCTAGAGTTTCCTGAAGATGGTGACCTAAGAGAAACGGGAACGAACTCTGCTGCATTAGGATTCAAAGTTGCTACCTTGCTAGGGGTGTTCAGTTTTGTGTCACTAATTTGGATCTCTTTCTTAGATGAGCTCATTTTTACTTAAATGGAGCAAAGAGATTCTACATAGATAAAAGAAACTAATGCAGAGAATACACCCTCGAGTTCCAGTAACACTAATCAAATCCTGCAAAACCATCCACCGGAATAATTAATAAGTCAAACTCACAAAAGAATCCTGAATTGAAGACAAACATGCATACATGATACCAATCCTTACCAGAATATATATCAATAACCAATTTTAGAATGAGATGCTACCTGAAAAACACCAAATCTCAGCACTACTCCTTATGGAAACTTTTACATTAACCATTTCCATGAAAATACTGACGACGACGAATGATAAACACATTGATGATGAAGGTAATAGAAATATTAATAAGCATATTTGACTCTCATGCATGCAAAATCATTGCTTTAAGTGAAACAAACATTACACATAATACCGATGAGTGATGACTAATTAACAATTGAATTAGCAAATAAAGTTGAGCATTTTTAAACCAACACCAAATTATGCTTAATTCAACATTATGAGTTAAACAACAAGTTTTTCATTAAATCAAACGCATAAGATAGACCAGAACACGCCAAAATACAGCCCAAAACCCTATAACTCACTTTTCAACAATACTTCAAGCTGAAAAAGAAAGCACAAATCCTCAAGCTAATAATTAAAAACCAAACTCATTCGCAGTAAAAATCTTTATAATAATAAAAAAAAACAAACTTAAATTTCGGAGAAGGAAAAAAAATAAACAAAAAATCTAAGTTCTAGCTGAACAAACAATTGCAACAATTAAAGCATAAATCAAGGTTATATTTTGCATTACCCAACTCATTAATTTTTCAGAGATCTCATGTCAATCAATCACCAACAAATGAAAAACTGAAATAAACATAACGAAGAAAGAAAACCGAAAATCGAGAGACCTGATGAGAAATTTATACCTCTTCCAAACAAGTAGAAAGGATTCCTAGTTGAAGAAATGAGGATGATAGTTTTTCAGATTTTTTTTAAAATTAATTATATCGGGATTGGAGCTTTGGTTTTTGTTTCTCTTGCTCGCAGCAGTATTATATTATCTCAGATTTTTATTCTCCTTTATTTTATTATTTATTTATTTATTTTCCGGTATTTTTTTCGACAAAACGCTTTAATGAATGGCATTACTAACTACTACGACTTAAAACAAAACATCAAATACGACACCGTTTGCCAATATTATTGGTAAATTAGGCCATGATGGTATTGTTTTTTGTCATTTATTTTTTAAAAGTAATTTAATACATAAATGAAGCTACTCCTGTGATTAAATTGATGATTGTTACCGTAAAAATTTTCAAATTTAAGCACCAGCGGTTAAGGGTGAGCGTTCGGTCGAGTGAAAAAATTTTGAGTTATTCGAGTTGACGAGTCCTATTTTACAACCCATAGTTGACTTGAAATCTTTTCGAGTTAAGTCGAATTTTCGAGTTTGTGTCTAAATTTAATTATTAATATTTATAATATTATAATGTTATTTGATTTCAATTTAAATGTTTTTTATGATCATATACAATACATATATATATATATATAACAATTCATTCCTGTGTGATTTTTGATAAAAAAAATACAATAAATATATATTCATTTCATATTTGATATACATATATCATGTAGAATTGAAAGATTCGACTCAAACTTGAAAATTCATCCACCAATTACTAAAAATTTCGAGTTATTTGAATTGTATTTTACAACTCGATTTGAACTTGAATTTTTTTCTAGTCGAGTTTATGAAATTACAACTTGAAGTCATTTCGAGTCGAGTTTTTTTTAATCAAATCGATTTTTTGTCACTTCTACCGACAGTTGAGCATCTTTAAAATAAATTCCACGACTTGTAATCAACATGGATTAATAAAAAAATTATTCTATTTTTATCATTAATTATTTAAGATTTTAAGATTTCTGGTATTGGATTCTAATAAATTTTGATATTAAACTATTATTTTAATATCAAATAACAAGTCTATTATTAGATTAAATTGATAATAATGAACTAAATGGTGTAGAATATTGCTCTAATGAAGAAGTATTAAAATCGAGATTAAGAACTAATTTGTAAACATTGTAAAATATGAGATGTAAATGGCAATTTTTTAAAAATAATACATCGGATATTTTCTAATTTATATTTTTTGTATTAATATGGATCAAATTGAAAATTTAAAAAAATATATATAAATTAAGTTAATTTTTCAAAAGTTAAAGTTTTTAATCACTAAGTTCGCTCAATGGTACAATAGTGATTTTATTTTAAAACTAAAGAACAACTTGTTTTTATATTATTTGTCTTCATGTTAATTACGGATTGTTGAAGACTTTTGGTGTTCTCTAGTTTGAATCGAGTCTTTCAATTATATATATATTATGGTTTATAGAAAACTGTTTAAATTGAAATTAAATAGTATCATATTATTATAAATATTTATAATTAAATTTAAATATAAACTAGAACGACTCGACTAGAAAAAGATTCAAATAAAGTTTGAATGAAAAAATAGGTTTTTTCAACTCGAATAACTCTAAAATTTTGAACTCGAATCAACTCAACTCGATAGAACGTTAACCCTTACTATCATCATCATCTGTAGATTTAATATAGCTTTGATTAGGGGTAGTAAAATTCAACCCAACTCAAAATAATTAAAATTTGACTCGATGTTAAAAACCTTATTGGAATAAAAGAATTCAAATAAAATTTAAATTATAAGATAGGACTTAATAACTCAATTCATTTAAAAAAAATAGTTTGATTCGATCGAATATTTATCCCTAACTTTGATTCCTGCATAATGGGTCAAGTTTGTCATGTCATTTGTTATAGGATAATAATTAATCCAAACTTAAATAGTTAACAATCCCTCCCAAAAATGAATGTTGCCAATCATTCGTTATAGGATTTCTTATCCAGGAGTTGTCTGTACGAAAAAAGTTTATTGGTCATGTAGAGGACAAAGACGTCTGGAAGCTGAGGAGATGTCTTGTGGGTACTATGGCTTCAGTTTGTAGCGTAAGATGAGGAGACAGAATTAAGGGCTTGGGGATATAAAGATACGGAGAGAGGGTGGTAAAGCATACCTACTAACTATCGAGGAAAAAGAGTTGTATTTATTTTTAGAGGGTCTTCAGTGGTCGAAGTCGTTAAAAGAGGTGAAGCATGCAACATGGATTGAAGTTTCTGGCATCCCCTTTCGCTGCTGGAATGGCACCACGCTGAGGAAGTTGGCGACTTTACGGGGGAATTTTGTGGCGTTTGGGGAAAATATAGACCATGAGTTAGATTGTGAAAAGGTTTCTATCCTTATTACCACTAAACAGAGATCTCAGATTATGGAGGTGGTGGAAATGGTGATAGGAAATACGACGTATGAAGTTGGGGTAATTGAGCTTGGTTTCGAGGATATAGCTGAAGCAATAGTGGAAGCAAAAGATTATGAGTGCGAATCATCGGAGAAGTTTTTCGAAGAGAAGGCGTCTGAAGCGTCACCGGTAAACCAAGAAGCCATGGCAGTCCTGTGGAGGTTGAAGAAGCATTGAATGCTGGCAGTCTTAAAAAGAAACCTGTCGAATGCAATGATGATGGTGGTAAGAATGTGAATGCCAACAGGCTCGTGGAGGATTCTCGGTCACTGCCGGAGACTATTGAAAAAAATTAAAATCGCGTGTCTGATAACGTTGTACCGGTTGGAGGTGTCTCGATGCTGGGCCTGGAAATTGGTAAAAGTAGTGCTAGAGCCGTTGAACCCGAGAGCCTTGGAAGATTTTAGGAGTATGGGCCTTGGTATTTTAAATGATATTGGGCTGAATGTTGGTTCTGTTACGTGGGCCATAGAATATGATAGGAAAATGAATGAAAGACTATGTGTAATATCGGATTAGTTGATTTCAGGTTGGGTCACTATCAGATCATTTGGTTTGGTTTGGGTCGGATCAGAGCTGATTCGGGTTTAGTTTGATTCTATAGAAATTTCGTTTGGGTCGGGTATCGAGTTGGATCAAAATCGGATCAATTGGTTCGGTTCGAGTCAACCTTTAGATTTTTAGGTCAATCAATGTCATTCTTTGTCGTCGTAACTTTCGACGCTAGTCTTTTTTACTTATAGATCAAGAATTTAATGTGAATATATATTGTCATAGTCCAAATTCAGAGTTGGAAGTTATTTAATCAAATATAGAAATGATCTTTTAACTAAATAAAGATTATATTGAACCATTAAATTATTACTATACGTGGTGGTTAACTAGTAGTATAATATAAAATGAGAATAAAACATACTTCATTTTATTATTTATCAATGCTAAAAATAGATGATGATGATAATATTAATAAATTATTTATTCACTCATACTTTAATTATCTGGTTAAAATCAAGTCGAAGTTCGGTTCGAATCAGATATGGGTAAACTAAATTCGGGGTGCTTTCGATTCAGATTGATTTTGATTCAGGTTACTTTCGGGCCAACTAAAATTTGGGTCGGTTTCAGTTTGACTCAAGTTATTTCTTGTTTCAAATCAATTTTGGTCATCCTGTTCGGGTCTCGAATATGGTAAATCGATTCGGTTAATCGTACGAGTTTAATTTGTCAAGTCTATGATAGTGGTATAAGAAAATGTTGTTCCCTCTAGAAGTCTTAGATTCGAGCATCTATGTGCGCAAAATATGTATATATTTTCAATAATTAAGAAAGATCATAAACAGATAATAGTATAATGAAAGTTAATTTCTAAGTTAATTTCTAGCTAGGAGGGGTTATAATACAAATCAAGAATAGTAGAGATGTACATTTCAAAAGAAAATTTCACTTCCACCCATCAAAATCAATACAATCAAAGGGATTTGTCTTGTTTTTTTCTCTTCTAGTGGGATTCTCCCATAAATGCCAAGGATCTGATAAGTTAAGAACCTATTTCAAAACCACTAAACAAAGCAAAAGCTTACAAACGTCAGTATAAATCCATGTTCATTAGTAGTTTTCTCTAACCACTCAAACGTCAGTACAAATCCATATTCATAAATAGCTTTCTCTAACCACTCAAAGCCAGTTGTATTGAACTTAGAAATGCTGAGTGGTCCATCAAGAATCGTGTTTTTTTTAATATGCGGTTAGTACAAGATAACGTCTGTTTAAAGATAACTCTTAACATTTTGATAGTGTACGTTCACATCTCTGGCATTTTCGGAACTCAAACCTGAATCTTCAAATAATAACAACAATTCCTTTACCACAGAGGCCCCTCGGTTCGTGTCCTTTTTTTCTCTCGAATTATAATCGTGATTTTAATATTATTTGTGTTGTATAGATTTTGATATGTTCAAAATGATCGAAGCTAGATTGTTGATGAGTGTCATTTTCGTCATCATGTCATGTATGAAAGTTAGATCGATCATGGCCATATATAAATTGAGAGATATATAGAAAAGAAAATGATGGGTACAACTGTAAAGTAAACTTACTATGAAAAATAAATAAACCAAATATGCTTTTGTAGTTATGCAGAAAGGGCAGCTGCTTACCCTCTCCAGCTTTGTTTTTCTTTTAATGTTCTATGATTTTCAAACAATAATAATATATTTCGTGCCTTTTGGCTTTAGATTCAAATTACTAAAACGGTGCGTATGTATGTATGTATGTACGTACGTATGTACGTATGTACGTATGTACGTATGTATGTATGTATGTATGTATGTATGTATGTATGTATGTATGTATGTATGTATGTAGGTATGTAGGTATGTACGTATGTACGTATGTACGTATGTACGTATGTACGTATGTACGTATGTACGTATGTACGTATGTACGTATGTACGTATGTACGTATGTATGTATGTATGTATGTACGTATGTATGTATGTATGTATGTATGTACGTATGTATGTATGTATGTATGTATGTACGTATGTACGTATGTACGTATGTATGTATGTATGTATGTATGTATGTATGTATGTATGTATGTATGTACGTATGTACGTATGTATGTATGTATGTACGTATGTACGTATGTATGTATGTACGTATGTACGT